ACTGATACAACTGAAACAAACACAAAAACGGGCAAATTTGACTGTTTTCTGGTATAACAGCCTCCATTGAGACAAACTGAGACAACCACTGAGACAAGTGAGACAAGAACAAAACCGGCCAATTTGGCTCTTTTTTTCAAGTACTGGTTTGCCCAACGGGCCTGGAGGGGTTTCGGATTTTTTGTTTTCAATGGTCTGCCCAACGGGTCATGACCCAACCAGACGAAGGGTGTCGGGAGCTCGGAGTTTTTTTGGGCCCTTATAGGAACCTACTCATAGGAAACTCATAGGAAGTCCATAGGAAGCCCATAGGAAAAGATGAAGAGGGCTTCCTACAGGTTTCCTATGAGTTCCCTATAAGATTCCTAAGGTTCCTATAAGGAGCCCCAACAACCCTCCGACTCACTGCCATGGTTTGATACTGGTCCGCCCAACCCGTTGGTTTCCCGAGGACCCCCAAACCCTAAAGGGACATTTGCACCGTTTTGCGCCACGAAATGCTATTCTTACAGGGTGTATATTCATATACGGCCTGGAGGAATAGCTTTTTTTGCACGGTTTTGCGCCACAAAATGCTATTAGTCTAGTGCCTATATCAATATAGACACTAGACTAATAGCCTTTTTTGCACGGTTTTGCGCTGAAAAAATGCTATTCTTCCAGTGCCTATATCAATATAGACACTAGAAGAATAGCTTTTGCACGGTTTTTGCACGGTTTTGCCCATGCCAGCCCCGCTCATTTGATTGGTTCGCCCAACCCGTTGGTTTCCCGAGCACCCCAAACCATGACTCGGCGGGCTGGCGTGTCAGGCGCGGCTGGAAACAGGCACCAACCATTTTTTGGTTGCTGCCCGCGTGGAGTTCCGCGTGGAGTTCCGCAGACGCGAACTGCGCAGCGACTGCAGCGACAGCTGCAGACTGCGCCGCGCGAAAGCGCGAACACAGAACATAGCACCTCTCTCTTTAGAGGGGGTTTCCCAAATGGATTCTATTCTACCTGAGAGGCTCCTGGCACTCGTCCGTCCAGGAAATGACCTCGTCCTGCGAAGGATTCGAAGTCTAAAACGCTGCGCCGTGTGGCTGCAAAATAATGACCCCTAGATATGCGGTTTGGCAAAATGCCCAGCAGCTGCCTTTGTTTCTGCAAGGCGAGCCCCCTCAAAGGAAACCCTGGCTGGCTTTTTTGGTTGGCTTCTGGCTGGTTTGGCTTGGCTCCTGGCTGGCTTTCTGGCTGGTTTGGCTTGGCTTCTGGCTGGCTTTCTGGCTGGTTTGGTTTGGCTTCTGGCTGGCTCTCTGGCTGGTTTGGTTCGGTGAACGAGCTGGGGGCCATGACAAGGCACCCGGCCCACCTCGGAGGACAGGTGGCGCACGGATCGGGCAGCAGGTGCCTGCTGGAGACCCTGCCGCCCCGATCCTGCAGCTCTTGGACGAGACCTACTTCTTTGACCCTGCACTGGGTCAGCACCCAGAGCACGCAGTGTCGAAACTCCAGGACAAGGTGGCCGCTGCGCATGAGGGGCTGAGGAGCGTGAGCTTCCAGCTGCCCAGAAGGACGTCTGCAGAGCGCCTTTGAGGACAAGCCGCTCTGTGTGCCCCGGCAGCTGGCCGAGCTGCTGCAGCTGAGCGTGCCAACTTTGACGCCATGCTGCGCCACGACTAGGCATCTCCGCCGAGGAGGTGCGAGAGTTCTGTCTGTGACGCAACGCGCCGATGCGCGTGCTAAGCTCGCAAGGCGACCTTGTGGACAGCTACGACCCGGCGCTAAAGGAGCACCGCACCGTGTGCTTCTTGGCCTTTGATGGGCACTGCTACATGTACAGGGGTGAAGCGGTCCGCGGACGTGCAGCCGGGCTGTTCTGGAGCGAGTACCTGCGGAGGCCAGCTTATAGGTAGCCATCAGCAGCCTGGCGCAGTACTGGGGCTAAGGCTCAGGCGGCGCACCAGAATCCAAGAGCTGCCGGAGGAGCACGAGGTGCTGCGGAGGTGGTGCAAGGGGCTGGGGCAGGAGTACCGGGGCCAGCGCCTGGCCGGGCTGGCGCACGAGATCTTCCTGAAGCTGCTGAAGGCGAAACGAGAGGTGTCCGGCGCGGCGGAAGACCCTGGCCGCGCAGGGCGGCAAGTGCCGCTGTGCGGCTGCGGGCTGACGGCAGGCCTTTGCGGGCAGCGTAGACTCTGCAGGTGCTGCGCAGCCGCCCACCAGCCTGGAGAGCCGCGTGGCGCCCGGAGTCATGAGTACGCTCGGAGCTCCAAGCTGCCTTCTCTTGTCTTTGAGGCGCAGGCGTGCCAGAAGGACGCTCTGTACGTCGGCGTGGACGCGCTGAGGCGCAACGGGTGCTTCCCCCTGCCCATCCTGTGCCCGGCAAACGGCGTTGAGCCCGTGGACGGCGTGCTGCCGGACCTGGACTTTGTGGAGGGCTGCTGCACACGAGGCAGTCCTGCCAAATTTGTTGCCGTACGGGCCTGGCTGGCACCCAAAGGTTTTGCTGGCCGCGATGCCGCTGGGACTACATTTGTTGGGCATCTCCGCGCGGAGCCACGTGGACGCAACGCTGCGGCGCGCGCTGGAGCGCATGGACGCCGCGTGGCAGGGCGAGGAGCACATGGCCAAGCTCAGCGTGAACGCGATGATGGGCCTGTGGGCGCGCAGCACGCGCAGCAGCAGCAGCGAGCTGGACGGCGCTTCGTCTACAAGGCGGGGCATGGTGTGGGACTTCGTCTACGCCAGGATGCTGAGCAACGGCACCTACCGCCCCATCCATAACGCGGTCCTGGGCTTTTGGTGGCCAAGGCCCGGCGCATCCTGGACGCGCCGCCGCGCTACCTGGCGCAGGTCTACCGCGTAGAAGAGACGAAGCCGTTGCTGGGCAGCAGCAGGGCCGTGCATGGAGGCGGAGCGCCCCAAACAACGGAGGTGGAACGGGGTGGACGACCCTGTGGGCCACTGCCTGGCGGGCAACTCCCTGCTGCTCACGGGCCTGCCGGGCACCGGAAAGACGCACCTGGCCCGGACGATTGTGGCGAGGCTGCGAGGCGAGGCAGTGCACCTGGTGTCCAAGACGCACTGCTCCGCGCAGAACCTGGGGCTGGGGGCGCAGACGGCCGACCACTGGGTGCGCAGGTACGTGCGCGGGGGCAGCGCGCAAAAGCTGGACTGGCTGGTGGTGGAGGAGATCACGCAGCTGGACATGGCGCTCTGGGCGGACCTGGCCTGCGTGGGGCTGAACGCCGACGTGAAGTTCCTGCTGCTGGGAGACTTCCAGCAGTTGCCCGCCGTGCTGGACTCCTGGGCCGGGCAGCCCATCAGCGCGCCGTTGGAGCACAGCCAGTTGATCCGCGACCTGGCCGGCGGGAAGTTAGATGCTCTGCATTTCCATCCATGGTCTCCGCCTCCGGGTCTCCGGCCGCCCACGGTCTCGGAACCACCAGGTCTCCGGACCGGCGTGGGCACGCTTGCTTCGCCTTGCGCGCACTGCACGCACCTGCAAGGACACGCATTGTCTTGCCTTTGAGTTTCACAGGGGTGCTTTCTGCTCCAGGCGCATCCGTGCCCTGGAAGCAGTGCTACTTTCAGCAATCCCGGTTAAAAGAACTGCGGCCGCTTCGGACTTGCTTTGTTCTTTTGGGTGGTCTGGTTTGGGTTCAAGATATGCGCAGTGCAACATGCCTTAACACACTTGTTTGCTTGTCACCCGCGCTTGCCGCAGGTGGCGCGTACTTTGGATTGCGTGTCCATTTTCATTTGCATAGTCTTTCTGGCTTGAAAAGTGGATTGGGGAAGCACTGCCGCGGGTGCTCCCTTCAGTAGTCCGCTGGCAATTGACGTTGGGTAACACTTAACTTTCCACCGCTTGACCGTTCTGGGAGGTTTTTTTTTTGCCATGGACAACTACCACCCGCCCGGGCGGCCATTGGTGTGGACTTACTGGCTTTGTTGCGCTGTGGTTGAGACGCTGACATTCTCTTGTATAATGACTTCTTACTCACACTTGTCGGAATTTTGCCAGGCGTGCAAAGGTAGGCCAAGATACTTCCAGAGTCAGAGTATGCGCTTGGGACACTGCAAGACCTCTGCATTACACAACTTTCTACCCATCCTTTTCCCTAAGTCCGTCGGTGTTCATCATTGTGGAAAGCTCTGACAAACGTCTTTCTGTCGGCTGGGATGAAGTGTAGCCTTCTCTTGCTACAAATGCCTTTGCCTGATTCTCACAGAGCGCAGCCTTGGCTCTCACATTTTACAATTCAACACACTGACGTACTGCGGGCTCTCTCTGGTGGGGTTTTTCCAAACGCGTTTTAACGCAGCTACGGGGCTTCTCACACTTGTCAAACAAGAAATGACCTTGTCCGCCAAGATTTCCAACATGCATACATAAATGCCTGCCTACCTTGCCGGAGAGGAACTGATGATGCTGAGGATGTAGGAAGCCAATGGGGAATGTTGAAAACGATGCTGATGATGTTGACGGACCAGCGTAAAATACGTACATTTCGTGAGAAAATGGTGTAAAATACGGCATTTTACTAGCCAGGACGGAAAACAGAAAACAACAAAATGAAACAAACAAATCCCAAATTACACTTCGACCCGAAGAAAATTGTCGGGACGCCGAGCAGTAGTTGGTTGGCGCTTAACCTGTGGTCGGCCAACAGGATTTCATCCACAGGGGGCAGCGAGCAGATGAAGGTTTGCCATTCTTTTTTCCCGGATTGTTCAGAAAAGGGGCCAGGTGTGGCTGTAAGTCACCCAGGCGACATTTGATCGATTCCTTACATGCCGGTTTAAAACCATTTCACTCTATTGGCGCTTCGAGCCCTACAGGCCCCCAGATGTGCGCGGCAGGAAGATCCATGAGGGCCAATCGACCAATTCGTGCTGTTGATTGGTACCCCCACCCCCCCAGGTTTTCAAGGTTAAACGTTTCGCATTCGGGTCCCAATGTTATGTTTTGTTGCATGGGACCTCACATGGCGCGAGGCCGATGGGGCGTGTGTCGCCAAGCCTTGAGCATTTGGCTCCAGGCCTTGAGCTGGCACTGGATTCGCGGCATGCTTGGACAGACTGCCATGAGCCAGCCCATGAGCGCCCAGCTGATGCCTCCCATAGGACTGCTTTGGGCCCATGTTTTATGACACGGGGAGGCATTGTACGGGGTCGGAGTTTTCTATGATCGCAGATTCGAATTGACTTGGATAAGACTCCCTCCTGTTTCGGAGGGGGTTCGAGTCAAGCCGGCGAAACAAGAAAAGTCGGCCCAAGGAGGCTGCTGCCCCTCGCGAAGCCGGATGCCCAAGCCCGAATCTGCGCGAGGTGCCCTCACGTTTGCTTCTCTTGGAGGGTAGGGTTTGCGTGCAGTTTGGCCATAGTCCTAAAAGAAGACTGCCCGTCCCTTTGCCACTGTTCCGCGGTTTGCTTTGCAGAGGTTTGCTTTGCATGGGGCTTGGCGTCTCCCTTAATCTTCACGGCTGCAGTTTGGGCAGGCGGTATGATTCCTGTCATCCGTTGAGTCATCCACAGTCGATGGCTTCCGGTGAGACAAGCAACTTGAGGACCCCCTCTGCCCACCAGAAGGTGTTTTCCGGGTCTGGCGAGAAACCATTTCTCCGACTGACGGGACCTTGCCTGGATGCGCGAAGAGGCAAGGGGTGGACTCAGGTCGGATCCATTCCGATACCCGCGATCGGTGGGTCCGATGTTCGCAAGGTCCAAGTGTGTTTTTTGCCAAAAGAAAGGGGGGGGCTGGGTGACTGGCAAACGGTGAGGAAATCGGCGTTCAAGTCGGCGTGTCATCCTGATGAGCTGGTCGCAAGGAAACTCTTTGGGGGACCCAAATATTGCACCTTCCGCGACTAAACGAGTCGGGCGCCTCGATTCTGAGGCACGTTAGCTTTGCTTTTGTGATGGTTGTTTCTTGTTTTTTCTTGAAAGGAGACCAAAGCTGAGCTCATTTTGTGGCGAACCTCATGAGTTCTGTGCGTCAGGGAGCCTGCGCGCCGCTGCCGGTGTTTGCCGGGAAGGCGATGGCCCAAGCTTTGGACGGATGCACGGCTGGCGAGCGGAAGCTGGATCTGTCTCAAAAGCAAAATGTGGCGAGTGCTAAGCTCGGGGACTCGCACTACATAGCCCAGCATGCATTCTTTTTTGCTCTCTTGAGTCCCGGCGCCCACCATTCAGAAAAGAAAGGCCTCAAATCGAGCCTGTTGACGCATCCGGTGACCGTTAGGCCGTGTCCGGCGGCAAAGATCAGCTTGGACAGGCCAGCGATTCACGCGAAGCGACTCGCCAGATCGGAGCCGTGTTTGGGTTCGCCACGCTGGTGAACACTTGCAGTTCCTGCAGTTTGACTTGGCCAGGTTTGCTTCGAGTTGAGCTGGCCTGGCTGTTTGCCCTTGAGCCTTGACTCTGTTTCTTGTGAAAGCACGGCGGAAGCTCCTGGCCTCAGCTTTGGCAGGTGCCTGGCAAAGCGCTTGCCTAGGCGGGCAAGCTTTCTCTCTGCCGGTCGGCTAGAGAAAGACCCGGCTGGCTGGGCACAAGTCATGGGCACCAAAAGTTCTTCGCTTGGCCGTGGCTGAAAAAAGCGGAATTCCGAAATGGGTTGCCCTGGTTAGTGGAAACATGGACCAAAACCCGTAACTCCCTCTGTTTAGTTTTGAGCCACACCCGCTTGAGGGGGTTTGTCACAGTTTGTGAAGCATTTGTCAACTTGGAATCGCTTGGGAGTCCAGCTTGCACGTCTCAAGGTTCTTTTGCGAACTTTTTGGGGGACGTTTGATGTTCTGGCTCTGTTCTCCTTCTCCATTCTGAGAATGTGACCCTTCAAGTCACAACATGTCTGAAGAGAACGATGGGTGAAGCAGCCTTGGAAGGGTTTTAAACTGGGTGCAACTATGGTCGACGGCTGCGAAGAAACATTATATGGGTGGTGACTCTGGTGGACATCGTTATGGTATGTTGTCCACCAACCATATTGAAGGGCGTTTTCCATGGAAAAAAAAACACATCGCCAACAAATGGCAGGGTCGCAACTCAGATCCCCATGTTCTTCAACTGAAAGTTTGAGAGTGGCTTGTTTGGTGCCACCGAAAAACCATCCCATCTGCGAAACTTTTTGGGAGTGGAGTCGAGCCGACTCAACTTTGCATAGCCGGATTTGGCTTGTTTACAAGGCGGTTTCCGTCGCAATCCCAGTGATTCCATTTCCCTCTAGAGTAGGTAAACAAGGGAACCACCCTTTACAAACTAGAAGGTCAATAGCTGGTTGGTTACCCATCATAGTGGCGAACCGCCTGGGATGCACTGGCAATGTTTAAAGGGGGGAAACAACGACGTCCCAACCAACCTTCCTTCCAGAGTGGAGAATGGGAATCGAGAGAGAAAGGAAGGAGAGCCATGCCATGGACATCTTTTTAACTTGCCAGAGCGGCGAGGAGTCGCGACCAGCGACCAGCGACCAGCGCGCTGGCAAGTGGCAGTTTCAGTGACCTTGGACGCCAAGATCTTGAAAAACCCCGCAATTTGCCGTCCTTTTCCACGGTGCCCCATGGTTTTCCCAGGCCGTCTTCCCCGGGTTTTCCGTTTCGCAACCACGCGCGGCTCGCCCGGCTCGGTTCGGTTCGCCCCGGTGCAGGCTCCCTTCTGGGCCTCGGGAATCGAAGGTCGCTGCGCCGGCGCCAGGCCTACCACTTCTGGTTGCGCTCTCTCGGTTGCGTTTGGTCTCTTTTGCCCAGCATTGCGTTAAACCACGACACAATTACGTTGCACATCGCATTGAGTTGCATGAAATTGCGTGAAGCATTGCATGGCATATGATGACATCACATATGCTACATATCCCCACGGAGTTATGCGCTACAGGCGGATCGGTCCGAGGACAGCCAGGCGCTGAGTGTGCTCCATTCCGCCTTTCCGCCCCCCACAAAAAGGGGGGGTTCCATTAAGAGGTGCCTTTGCGTTTTCTGTTGGGTTCCCTGTTTTGAAGTTGTTGTCGTGTTGTCTGTTGTTTTGTGCGCATTTCGTTTCTTTTTTTCAATAAAATGGTTGCCACAAAGGGTGGTGTTGTCGGTGTTTCCCGTGAACAGGTGACCTCGAAAGTGGTTGCTTTCCGATTGGATTACTTTAAGCCACCGAACTCAAAAATAAACCACTTATGAACAAGCCAAAGGTACGGCCCAAGAATACAGTTACCTTTCCAGGTTCACCTTTGAAGCACACCGCAGGGTCGTCGTGACCGGGCAACCAACAGAACATTTCCCAGAAAATTATAGTTGGACGTTTAGAATTAATTAGCAATTAAAATATGAACCAAACCAAAATAGGAAAGATCAATGGTTAATCCTTTAAATCACCGGTGACTAAGCTTCCGTGGTGCTAAAGAGATGCGCTTATGTGATTTTTAATGGACAGCTGGTGAACACATGGGACGATATCTCGATTTATCATGGATGACATCCACGGAAGATGATGATACTATACTATCCCAACAGGATTTATGAATATAGCGAAACCACGCATGCACCAATATTTAAATACCCAATTCGCTTTTTATATTAATAATACAGAGACTAATATTAACAGTGCTGACTTGGAACCAATAAGCAAATTAAATGTTTCTAATATGTTTGACACTATGACCAGAATCATTAATTTTTATTAGCTTTGCGCACACTGAATGGATCAATTTGCCTACCTTGGTTCTTTTCCTTAATAAACAGTATTATTTGAAAATATTGAAGTAATCTTACAAATTGTATATATTTCGTACGTAAACAGCAATAATGGCGCTAGTTCAAAAAGTTCCATTATATTTATAAGTATGATATTTACAGTATTGGAAAACAGTGTGTTTACTAACAGGCTATTGCACAAGAGCATTATAATAACAATATTAATAATGTATCCAATGTGATGTGTGAAGGATGTGGTTGCTTACAATATTGTCACACACATGGCATTGAATATATTGATCTGTTGTTTTGCAACTGAGAAGCAAACCAATTGAGTGGACAATTCCAAAGCAACCAAAGCAACTGTGATAATTTACACTGTCTACATAATTTGTTATTCTTCATTCTATTGACACATTATTATTGCTATTATTGCTATTATTGCTATTATTGCTATTATTGCTATTATTGCTGTTATTATTATTATTGATATATTCAATATGATTGGCAATTCTACATTCAATATAGTTATTGTTATTCTGATTATTATTGTTATTACCAATATCTGTTTGAATTATCTATATCCAACCATACCTGATATGAACACAATGTATAAATTTGATTGTTGCACAGTTGATATGCCGGATATTTATGTACATTCGTATGATTTGCGTAGTACATCCAAAAAATCCAAATCCAAATCCAACAACAAACAGGGTAAGATTCTGTCATGATTCGTAGACTCAGCGGTATATACTCGTATTTTACCTATATATTTTTTGTATAGGTAAGTTACCTCTATCCCAGACTCGACGGTTCTCGAGGTTCCGCTGGCGCACGCGAGCTTGAGAAGGGCTGACGTGCGGTAAAGCGCATTGCACTTGGCGTGTTGTTTCTTGTAGGTCTCGAGGCAATGTATTCGCCTTTGTTTGTTTGGTTGTTTGTTTGTCTCTTTTGTTTCATTCTTTTACAACAGACTATGCTTGGCTCAATAGCAACTAAAAGGGGACACTTCTTCCATTTGACACCAACACCGCAAGCCGCCCTCATTTTGGAACAAACGCAACGCATCGCCACTGCTTTTTTTTCTTCTTCCAATAACAAGGACAATCCACGGACCCCCCGTGCTTTGTCCCCCGCAATTTCAGCGCGCGGACGTCCGGGGCCGGCAGACGCCGCCGGAGTCGCGCGGCGCCGTCGTTGGAGCGCCCGAGGCTTGGCGGCGGAGGGCGAGAGGCGCCTGGCGCTGATCCAGGCGGCGATCCGCCGGGGCGAGGCCAAGGCGAGAGCCGCCTCCCCGAGCGAGGCACGGGGAGGGGTGGGGGGGGTGGGGGGGATGGGGGCAGGCGATGGGATGCGTTTTGGGCTGAAGGTCGGGTGTTGAGGCGACAAAAGGCGCTTGGGCTGATTTGGGGTGTTAGGGTTTTGACCCCGAACTGCTCAGTTTGTGAATCTGTGAAGGTGTCGATGTTGCGGGGCCACCTGCTTGAGTGGTTTTGGATGCTTTGTCCATGGCACGAGTATGCTGGACCATGGATGGACCATGGATGTGCGAGTTGCTTGAAACTCTGGTTCTGCCGGTGTTCGAAGGGAGGGGACTGGGCTGATACCACCATGCGCAAGCGTCTTCACCTCTTGGATGGCTTCAGGCCCGAAATGCAAAGAGAAACCAACCGGGGCGCTGAATGAGTTAATTTGTCTCACGGATGTTCGTTACACCACCACCCAGCGAAAGTGGAATAGGTCTTTTTTGTGCGTGGCAAGGTTTGTTTCATGGTACTGATCTTGTTTTCATGTTCTTGACTGCAACATAGACTCTAGGTGTCCATAGCGGGGGGGAGCCCATGGGTTACTTCCCTCCCCCCCCAAACGAATGGGAAGGGTGCTTATTGTGTCTGCCGTCAACAGTTCAAGCACATGGTGGTTGGAACAAATCATTTGTGTGATCGGGCATGGATCCATTTCATGTTTTGCGAAGCGTCCCCACGTTTCCCATTCTAAAAGACGATGCGTTGAGCTCATCACTCCTTGGAAGGCTAATTCACTGTGGGGGCCACCTAGATGTCCAATGGTTCGAGTGTTTTGAACATCTTTCAGTGTTGCGCTGACCTTTGAACCTACGCGCTGCCCTCACCACCCAGGATCCAGACATGCCGGCGTTGTTTGCAGCTTGGCGATGTTTGTTGGGGAAGTGGATGGACACGATCCACTTCACAGCAATTGGGGTTGGCTTGCTATGGCAGGGCTTCTTTGGCGGAAGATATCATGAATCCCTCTAAACTCTAACCAGTGCTTCCAGGCATTTCGCCATAGGTCACCAGGAGAAACCATCCACGGCAAAACTAGGTCCAGAGCCGGTCCTCCGGGTCAACTTCGGATCTGGTCTCAGGAAAACGACCCATTTTTGGGGCCGGGGCCAAAACCCATGGAACTACCTTGGCACAGCGAGCGACCGGGCGGTTTGTCGTAGGAACAGTCCGAAGAGCCGCGGAGGCTTACAGAGGAGGACACGGCGCGACGTTTTTGTTTTTGTTTTCCTCCCTGTTTTTCCTCCTTCTTTTTTTTCTTCTTTTTCCCCAAGCTGCGTTGGCATTTTTTCCTTCTTCTTCTTCTTCTTTTCTATTTTTCCCCAAGCTGCGTTGGCATTTTTTCCTTCTTCTTCTTTTTTCTTTTTCCCCAAGCTGCGTTGGCATTTTTTCCTGCTTCTTCTTTTTTTCTTTTTCCCCAAGCTGCGTTGGCATTGTTTCTTTCTTCTTATTTTTTTCTTTTCCCCCAAGCTGCGTTGACATCTTTTTCTTCTTCTTTTTTTTCTTTTTCCCCAAGCTGCGTTGGCATTTTTTCCTTCTTCTTCTTCTTTTCTATTTTTCCCCAAGCTGCGTTGGCATTTTTTCCTTCTTCTTCTTTTTTCTTTTTCCCCAAGCTGCGTTGGCATTTTTTCCTGCTTCTTCTTTTTTTCTTTTTCCCCAAGCTGCGTTGGCATTGTTTCTTTTTTCTTATTTTTTTCTTTTCCCCCAAGCTGCGTTGACATCTTTTTCTTCTTCTTTTTTTTCTTTTTCCCCAAGCTGCGTTGGCATTTTTTCCTTCTTCTTACTTTTTCTTTTTCCCCAAGCTGCGTTGGCATTTTTTTCCTTCTTCTTCTTTTTTTCTTTTTCCCCAAGCTGCAGGGGCATTTGTTCCTTCTTCTTCTTTTTTTCTTTTTCCCCAAGCTGCGTTGGTTTTTCCTTCTTCTTTTTTTTTCTTCTTGTTTTCCCAAGCTGCGTTGGCATTTGTTCCTTCTTCTTTTGTTTTCTTGCTCCCCAAGCTGCGTTGGCAGAGTTTGGGTTTTGGAGGCTTTTCGCGCCAGATTTGGTTTTGGGGTGGGGTGTGTCTCCTCGTTTATGGGTTTCCTTTTTTGGTGCCACTTTGTTTGGCACCCAACAGGAAGACCCAAATCCAGTGTGGGGTGCAACCTTAAAAAGAGAGACCCATATGTGGTTCATTTGGTAGGCAACTTTTCGTCGTTAAGGGAGACCGCGGACATGTGGCCGATTCCTACTTTCAGAAACATACACACAGAGACCATGTGGCGCACGTCCTTTCTTTTGACTCCGGAAAGCTGCTTTTTGGTGTTGCCAAGGACAAGGAATCCGAAGGAAGATTGGGCTTTGCCTTGTCTCGAATTTCCAACAGAGGAGTTGTCGCAAATTTTATATTTTCTGTTGTTTTTGGAATAAATGAACACAAGGTACCTCATTGCTACACACGTTTGGTGCAGCAGGAAGAGCAGATGCTGAGCAAGTTGTTCATGCAGCCGGAGGAGGTGATGGAGCCCGGACCTTGGCACCTGACCTTTTGGGCTCGGTGCTCTTTGGTTTGGGCGAAAAACGCGGCAACAAGCGCCTTGGTGCGCGGTGGGTTATGAGGGGTTGTGCTTTTTTTTTCTTTTCCGAGGCTGGGTTTTGGGCTGGTTTGAAAGGAAGCCAGGAATACCAGAGGCTTGAGCGGCCAAGTGGGTCACGGCAGCCATGTTGAGGGCCAGAGCCGTTCAGACGTAAGAAGCCCTGTGGTTGCTCTCAGGTCAGGCAGACCAAGTTGCAACCTTTTCAGCTCCGTTTGGGTTCAACTGATGCATGGGGAACCTGGAGATCCACGACTTTGAGGCGGTAACTCTCAATACTCAGAGCGCTTGCAGCGACAAAAAGGCGACAGAGTCCTCGGCTCTGGTTGAATCTGACTCAAACTCCAGGGCCTCCAAAAAGACATCCAAGTTGCTTTTTGCGTGATGATGCTGGGAAGTGAATTCCCCGGAGGCCAATTTGAGAGTCTTGTTGGGGTGAGGTAGGTACGTGCAATAGGGATTCGGACCACCATGGGTTTTGGGTTTTCACTTTGGTTTGCCTTTGGCTAGCAACCCACCTCCAACACCTTTAACCAAAAACACAAACCCATGTTTGAACGGGAAGTATGGGGAACTCTTGGCCCTTTGCTTGTTTGCACCGTTTGCAGCCCTCGTTTGTTTCCCTTTGGTTCCCTCAAACACTATTGGTCCAAAAACCGGGTCGCCGCGCGGTTCTGTGCACAACCCAAGGCCCAAAGCGCGGGCCTTTGGCTTATCGGAGGGACCCGTATTCCAGGAAAAATCGGCGGTTTCCCTTATTCCCCGCAAGAGAAGCGGGTTCCCCCCCCCCACAGACACACAGACTACACACACACATGTTTCATGTTTCATGTTTTTGGGTGACCGAGAAACTGGGTTCCCAGAAAAAAGGTTGTTGCCAAGAGAAAGGCGATTCAAGTTTTGAGACGAGCCCCTCAATGGATAGTGGACAAACAACACCCGTAAAACGCTTTTCCACCACAGGGTCTCGACGTGTCAATGGCATTAAGACCAGTTTTTGCGTTTCTCTGCACATTGACAAAACCACGTATGGATTGATACAGCTCAACAACCGATACATGACACACATTGAGAGAACAAATTCAATCAATACAGACATGAGAAGCAGACCCATCGGTTCGTTTCCTGGGACTCCGGGAGGATCAGGGTTACTCTGGTTAGCATGAAAGACACACACACAATTGGCTGTGGCTCACAAAACTGGTCTCATGGCCCCTTGGTAAATGGAACCAAAGACCAAAACCCGCGGTTGGCCCCAGCTCTTGAATTTTGAGCCATACCCAATTGTGAGAAAAAAGCAAACAACCTTTAGCTGTTTCCTTGGGTTGCCCTTCCGTTTGTTGGCTAGTCGAGGCCGCTTGTCGGGCAGTTTTTCCGGCGCTTTTTTCGTCTCAGGACGATTCAGCAGCAGAACCCGCAGGTGCTGGAGGATACGACCGAAGAGGACCTGGGTGACGGCTGGTTGGTGCTCATGTTGGGCACCTCAGGGGTCCATTCTTTTTTGCATCTCTGGATTCGCGAATTATGGGGCCAGAATGAATGATACCAGTGACTTGGGAGTGGGAGTATGCAGTTCGACGAGGGCACCGCCCAGTGTGAATGATGCGAGTGCGAGTGCGGATGGTGCAGCAAGGCGCCACTTTGTGTGAATGATGCGAGTGACGCAGCAAATGCGGATGGTGCAGCAACAGGAGGCGCCACTTTGTGTGAACGATGCGAGTGACGCAGCAAAGGCGGGTGGTGCAGCAACAGGAGGCGCCACTTTGTGTGAATGATGTGGGTGACGCAGCAAATGCGGGTGGTGCAGCAACAGGAGGCACCGCTTTGTGTGAATGATGTGGGTGACGCAGCAAATGCGGGTGGTGCAGCAACAGGAGGCGCCGGTTTGTGTGAATGATGTGGGTGACGCAGTAAATGCGGGTGGTGCAGCCACAGGAGGCGCCGCTTTGTGTGAATGATGTGGGTGACGCAGCAAATGCGGGTGGTGCAGCAACAGGAGGCACCGCTTTGTGTGAATGATGCGTTTGACTCAGCAAATGCGGGTGGTGCAGCAACAGGAGGCACCACTTTGTGTGAATGATGTGGGTGACGCAGCAAATGCGGGTGGTGCAGCAACAGGAGGCACCGCTTTGTGTGAATGATGCTGACGCAGCAAATGCGGGTGGTGCAGCAACTGGAGGCACCGCTTTGTGTGAATGATGCGGGTGACGCAGCAAATGCGGGTGGAGCAGCAACAGGAGGCACCGCTTTGGTGACGCAGCAAATGCGGGTGGTGCAGCAACAGGAGGCGCCAATTTGTGTGAATGATGCGGGTGACGCAGCAAATGCGGGTGGTGCAGCAACAGGAGGCACCACTTTGTGTGAATGATGTGGGTGACGCAGCAAATGCGGGTGGTGCAGCAACAGGAGGCACCGCTTTGTGTGAATGATGCTGACGCAACAAATGCGGGTGGTGCAGCAACTGGAGGCACCCCTTTGTGTGAATGATGCGGGTGACGCAGCAAATGCGGGTGGTGCAGCAACAGGAGGCACCGCTCTGGTGACGCAGCAAAGAGGCACCGCTCTGGTGACGCAGCAAATGTGGGAGGCACCACTTTGTGTGAATGATGTGGGTGACGCAGCAAATGCGGGTGGTGCAGCAACAGGAGGCACCGCTTTGTGTGAATGATGCTAACGCAACAAATGCGGGTGGTGCAGCTACAGGAGGCACCACTTTGTGTGAATGATGCGGGTGACGCAGCAAGGGTGGTGCAGCAACAGGAGGCACCGCTTTGGTGACGCAGCAAATGCGGGTGGTGCAGCAACAGGAGGCGCCGGTTTGTGTGAATGATGCGGGTGACGCAGCAAATTCGGATGGCGCAGCAACAGGAGGCACCGCTTTGTGTGAATGATGCGGGTGACGCAGCAAATGTGGGTGGTGCAGCAACAGGAGGCACTACTTCTGGGAATGACGCAGCAAATGCGGGTGGTGCAGCAACAGGAGGCACCGCTTTGTGTGAATGATGCGGGTGACGCAGCAAGGGTGGTGCAGCGACAGGAGGCACCGCTTTGGTGACGCAGCAAATGTGGGTGGTGCAGCAACAGGAGGCGCCGGTTTGTGTGAATGATGTGGGTCACGCAGCAAATGCGGGTGGTGTAGCAACAGGAGGCGCCGCTTTGTATGAATGATGCGTGTGACGCAGCAAATGTGGGTGGTGCAGCAGCAGGAGGCACCACTTTGTGTGAATGATGCGGGTGACGCAGCAAATGCGGATGGTGCAGCAACAGGAGGCGCCGCTTGGTGTGAATGATGCGGGTGACGCAGCAAATGCGGGTGGTGCAGCAACGGTGACGCAGCAAATGCGGGTGGTGCAGCAACAGGAGGCGCCGCTTTGTGTGAATGATGCGGGTCACGCAGCAAATGCGGGTGGTGCAGCAACAGGAGGCACCACTTTGTGTGAATGATGCGGGTGACGCAGCAAATGCGGGTGGTGCAGCAACGGTGACGCAGCAAATGCGGGTGGTGCAGCAACAGGAGGCGCCGCTTTGTGTGAATGATGCGGGTCACGCAGCAAATGCGGGTGGTGCAGCAACAGGAGGCACCACTTTGTGTGAATGATGCGGGTGACGCAGCAAATGCGGGTGGTGCAGCAACAGGAGGCACCGCTTTGTGTGAATGAGCAAATGTGGGTGGTGCAGCAACAAGAGGCACCGCTTTGTGTGAATGATGCGGGTGGCGCAGCAAATGCGGGTGGTGCAGCAACAGGAGGCGCCGCTTTGTGTGAATGATGCGGGTGACGCAGCAAATGCTAGTGGTGCAGCAACAGGAGGCACCGCTTTGTGTGAGTGCAGCAACGGTGACGCAGCACATGCGGGTGGTGCAGCAACAGGAGGCGCCGCTTTGTGTGAATGATGCGGGTGACGCAGCAAATGCGGTTGGTGCAGCAACAGGAGGCACCACTTTGTGTGAATGATGCGGGTGACGCAGCAAATGCGGATGGTGCAGCAACAGGAGGCGCCGCTTTGTGAATGATGCGGGTGACGCAGCACCGCTTTGTGTGAATGATGCGGGTGGCGCAGCAAATGCGGGTGGTGCAGCAACAGGAGGCGCCGCTTTGTGTGAATGATGCGGGTGACGCAGCAATTGCTAGTGGTGCAGCAACAGGAGGCACCGCTTTGTGTGAATGATGCGGGTGACGCAGCAAATGTGGGTGGTGCAGCAACAGGTGCTAAATTTGTGGTCCTAAATCACAATCCAGTCAAGGCTTGGCCTTAAATCGTTTGGACCCATCAGGCCTAGTTTTAATCCGCCGTGCAATTCGTGCAAGACTAAAAAATACAAAAATAATCTTTTTTGGGCCAACTCCAGAAAGCATCCCAAGTCATCCGTGAATCATCATGGCACGGAAGTGGGTTTCTTTTCTTGGGGTGCCACAATTGAGGTGGTTTAGATCACCAGTGTAATGTTGAGGGCAGCCCAGTCTCCCAAATCAAGCAAGAATTTCGGAGGGGTTCCAAAATGTAGGAAAATACGACTGTTTGCTAGCAGGGCCTATTAAAGCTTATTAAGCCTTAATTAGCTTTAATAAGGCTTAATAAGGCTTAATAAGGCTTAATAGGGCTTAATAAGGCTTAATAAGGCTTAATAAGGCTTAATATGGCTTAATGTGGTGGGGAGGCCCCCCCCCAAAAAACCTGCACAGGGACACGCTTTTGGCCCCCCCTTCCCCTTTCCTCCCCCTCCCCCATCCCCTCCCTCCCCTCCCCCCCCCCTCCCTTCCCCACCCCCTCTTACCCGCCCTTCCCTCCCCTCCCCTACCACCCCTTTTACTTCTCAAAAAGAAACGATGTTTTGGTCCCTTTTCGAAGTATGGTACTTTGACTAGAATCCTGGGGCATGTGTTCTAGGCTGGATGTTTTTCGAGATGGCGGATTTGAAGGATTGTTGAAAATAAGAGAACATGTCCGTTTTGAGCATTCTCATCTAAATAACAAATTATTAAGCGTTATTAAGCCTTATTAAGCCTTATTAAGCCTTAATAAGGCTTAATAAGGCTTAATAAAGCTTAATAAGGCTTAATAAGGCTTAATGAGGCTTAATAAGGCTTAATAAGGCTTAATGAGGCTTAATAAAGCTTAATAAGGCTTAATAAGGCTTAATGAGGCTTAATAAGGCTTACTAAGGCTTAATGAGGCTTAATAAAGCTTAATAAGGCTTAATAAGGCTTAATGAGGCTTAATAAAGCTTAATAAGGCTTAATAAGGCTTAATGAGGCTTAATAAGGCTTAATAAGGCTTAATGAGGCTTAATAAGGCTTAATGAGGCTTAATAAAGCATAATAAGGCTTAATAAGGCTTAATGAGGCTTAATAAGGCTTAATAAGGCTTAATGAGGCTTAATAAAGCTTAATAAGGCTTAATGAGGCTTAATAAGGCTTAGTAAGGCTTAATGAGGCTTAATAACGCTTAATGAGGCTTAATGAGGCCTAATGAGGCTTAGTAAGGCTTAACAAGGCTTAATGAGGCTTAATAAGGCTTAATAAGGCTTAATAAGGCTTAATAAGGCTTAATGAGGCTTAATAAGGCTTAATGAGGCTTAATAAAGCTTAATAAGGCTTAATAAGGCTTAATGAGCCTTAATAAGGCTTAATAAGGCTTAATGAGGCTTAATGAGGCTTAGTAAGGCTTAATAAGGCTTAGTAAGGCTTAATAAGGCTTAATGTTGGACTCGGTCATAATTCCTCAAATTGGGGTGCCACAATTGCGCTTCGGTTTACATTTGCCTTCAGCCCAACGTGGTGGCCAAAATGCCTTTGGCGCATAGGCTCCCTCGGTGCAGTTTGGACCCCTTCAAAGGCTGTGATAGAGGACTGGAAGGCCATGAATTTCTTCCACAGCAAAAGCAATGACAAAGCACATGTGGGGCACCTTTGTCCTTCTTTTTTCTTGGTCTTTCTCTTTTTGTTATTGTTTTCCTTCTTTTCTTGCCTTCTTTCTTTCTTTGTTTGTTTTGTTTGTTTGTATTTTTTCTTTCTTTCTTTCTTTCTTTCTTTCTTTCTTTGCTTATGTTCTTTTTCTTCTTTCTTTCTTTCTTTCATTTTTTCTTTCTTTGTTGGCTGGTTGCTTTGTTTGTTTGCTTGTTCGCTGGTTCGTTCATTGGTTTGTCCGCTTGTTCCTGTACACACACATTACATGACATCACATTCCGGTTCTTCTGGTCCTTGCCAATGTCGTCACCTCCACAAGGAACACTATCAAAACCTGAAGTATAGTTTCTCAAAACTGCAGCGGCCAAATAGAAGAAAAGCCGGGAATTCCTGCAAACCACACAGCAACAAGGAAGATATTGGTTTTGGTTGCGTTGTACTACAAGACATTCCACTACATTGCATTGCAGTGCATTGTCTTGCGTTGCATTGGGGCCCGTTTCTAGCCATTACATGGAAGAATCTGAGTCAGGGAAAGATGGGATCCTAGCCAAGTAAAGGCCCGGAGTCAGTCGTCCTCTTGCCGTCGTTTTCCATCCTGTTCTTGTCGTCTTTTGTCCTCGTCTCACAGTCTTTCCTGCAGTCTTCCGAAAAAATTTGTCCACTTCCCACGCTTTGCAAGGGAGCTCAAACAGCTGTTCATGGAAGCCCGACATTTCCTTGGTCTTCGTCCGTCCTAAGCTATCCTCTTCCCATGGTTTTTGTTATGTTCCCGCAGTCCTTCGTCAGATTGATCTGGCTTACAGTGTATTACAGTTCATTTCTTTTCATTCCATGACATCACAAATTGCGTGGTGTTACGTTGCCATCCATGCAGGAATACACATGAATACGTGCCGACATATACAAATTAATTAGCACAGACCGACCGACAGACAGACAGACAGGCAGACAGATAGATTGACAGATGGATAGATTGCTAGCTCGGTACTAGTTTTAAGATATTGTTTGAGTTTGTGGTTACTGTATTAATTTCCGCATGACTACTAACTAAGCATCACTACACTGGGCCATTGGAGAATGATTGCCGGTGACAAGGAGCCATGACTAATTATGACAAGCGAGTTAGATAGCTTCGATGCTTGTTTCTCTTGTCGTTTCGCAGGGAAGGAGGCATAGGTTGCGAAGCTGGAGGAACATGCGGTAACATGGCCCGAGGTCGTGTGCCCGCCTGCTTTGCGCGGGCGCGGGACCTGCACTTTGATGCTTGAGCCGCTCGCCACGACACATCCACGCACAACAGGTGTCCCATTGGGTCGTTCTAAACATCACCTTGGCTCAATTGAAGCGTGGCCCCTAAAAGTTGGAGACTGCAAATGTTAAGCCCAGAGACGGTGACGGTGTTTGCTCGCAGGGTTTGGTTGGCTTGGTTGAAAAATATCGGGCCTTTTGACATGGTTCAATCATCCAGGGCCATCTGTTTTCCAAAAATACACCTATGTCCAGCGCAAGCTGCTTATTGCTTCAGGTGACGTACCAGGCTTGAGCCAGACGGCAGGAGTCTTGCATTATGGATGTGCTGAAATATCAACAGTCGACGACACAAGCCCGCCGCCCCTTTTTGGCAAGACCGCAGACACAAAGACACGCTGCCTTGGCAAACTTGAAGACACGTGGTTGAGTTGGAACACCGGTCTGTTTGGCCATTGTAGACAATTGATCTGAAATCCAACATGATCTTTGCATCTTTCAGAGAGTGGTACTGTGCTCTCTCGCTCTCTCTTTCTTTCTTTCTTTCTTTCTTTCTTTCTTTCTTTCTTTCTTTCTTTTTTGCTCTGTCTCTCTCTCTCGCTCTCTCTCTCTCTCTATCTCTGTCTCTCTCTTTTTTCTTTCTCTCTCTCTCTCTCTTTCTCTCTTTTTCTCTCTTTTTCTCTCTTTTTCTCTCTTTTTCTTTCTTTTTCTCTCTTTTTCTTTCTTTTTCTTTCTTTTTCTCTCTTTTTCTTTCTTTTTCTCTCTTTTTCTTTCTTTTTCTCTCCCGCTCTCTATCTCTATATCTCTATCGCTCTCTTTCTCTCGTTTAACACAAACTGTCAATTTCGACGAGCGCAAGTGCTGTAGTATTGTTATCAGAAGCAGTCAAACCTGTAGTCTGCTTCACACCTGTTTCCTCATGGGCTAGCATGTAGTACAATGAGCAGTGGGCTCAAGGCCTGCGGTAGCGTACAGCAGGCACAGCTGTCATTCGGTGCATCATGTACTTTGACATTTTCTCTCTCTCTCTCTCTCTCTCTCTCTCTCTCTCTCTCTCTCTCTCTCTCTCTCTCTCTCTCTCTCTCTCTCTCTCTCTCTCTCTCTTTGCTTCTTTCTTTTCTCTCTCTTTCTCTTTTGTTGCTTTTGTCTCTTTCTCGTTCCTTGTCTTTCTTTCCTTCTTTGATTCTCTCGCTCTCTCTCTCTGTCTCGTCTGACTCTCAGGCTCTGTGATCATTTAGGTGTAGATTGGTACGAATTTATATTTGGCGGGCGAGGCGCGGGGGTGGAAGTTCGAGCTATACCACTCTAACTTGCAGAGAGATCTGCTCTTGGCGAGGCTCACACTCATGCTTTGGAATTCGGACATGACAGTGATGGAAAGTAGTTGATGCATGTCGGTGCAGCAAGTATTGAGAGGCCCCCATGCACAGCCTGGTGATTGCAAACTGCTTGAGCAACAATGTGTGTTGTCCGACGTCGCAGACCTCTGGCTTCGAGTGAGTTGCCATTTGACAAACTGATGAGCGTGGCTCTGGTGCAGCTGCCGTCGCCGTCCTTTGGGGGCTGGCGTGCGCAGAAGCGCCGCGCACTCCGGGACCACTTGGCATCATCTACGTGCAGCTCGGCGCAGATGAACTTGCGCTAATTATACATTTTTGATCAAGCATATATAGATATTAATAAATAGTCGTTATAACCATTTTCGGAATACTAAACCAAGCGTAAAATCACAACCATGACCGCAGTGATAATGATAATAAGTAGAAACAATGAATAATAATAATTACAACAACAACTGAGAACAGTTACTAATATTGATGACAATGATAACAATAAGAGCCGTCTTGCTATTAACAATACAAATACGGGTAGCTATACTAGTAATTGTAGTAGTACTAGTACTACTAGTACTACTACTACTACTACTACTACTACTGCTGCTACTAATACTACTACTACTACTACTACTACTACTACGACTACTACAACAACAACAACAACAACTACTACTACTACTACTTCTACTACGACTACGACTACGACTACGATTGCGACTACTACTACTACTTCCTCTTCTACTTCTGCTACAACCACCACCAAAATAATGGTAATTAAGGTGTATATAGGAATATGCACACATCGACAGATGTAGATATAGATGTAGATCTGCTTGTACATATACACACACTAGTACATTTGCATGTGCGTGCATACATGCGCATGTGGTTTGTAATTCTGCACACACAAGTACACACACACATATATATATATGTGTGTGTGTGTGCACGGTATCTACATGTCCCTCTCTGTCTCTGTTTTTCTCTATCTCTCTCTCTCTCGAGCTCTACTTTATATATTCATGCCATTTACAAATCACCTTCTCCGAGTTCCGCGAGGAGAACGGGCACCACGAAGAGCGCATCAGCGGCTCGGCGTTGGTTGGCCATTCTTTACGGGGTAGGGCGCGAGCAACATATCAGATAAGCCCCTTCCGTGTGTGTGTGTGTGTGAAACGAAAAGTGTTCGAGTGGGGCAAGCGAAGCGCCCTTCCCTGTCCTAGGAGTGCAGGCGGGGGGTGGGAAGTCAGATTGTGGAAAGGTGACAACATGTACTCCTGTGCTCAGCCGATGCTCCATTTAAGCCATGTGTAGGGTGCATGACTACTAAGAGCTGCCTTTTGTGGCACCCCAAACAATCGGCGCAAGTGGGATTTTCACCTTGGGGGCGCTTGGTTAAAACCCAAAAGGCCCCGATCCAATCATGTGGGGGTCTTTCGGTTTCATTTTGGTCCTGGTTCTCAGCGTGAGCGTATTTTTTCTTGAGAGCCGCTTGGTTTTTTTGGTCTACCGAGACCACAGAAAAGGGACTCCCGGGTTGAAGCGGTTGCAACTTTACGGTGCGGATTTGGCCTCATCCTGTCCATGATTTGCTCGAGGGTTTTCTGCCCTGTCTATGCCTGTTTTGCGAGTCTAGACCCAACAGGCGGGGAGGATAGATGAGGTGCTCGGAGGTCGGCGCTTCTCGGGTTGTGGTGTCTCATCTTGTTGAGCGTTCAACCTGGTTTTGGCTTCGGTCATCAGATCTTTCGTGCTTTTCACACAGTCCCCCCCTGCTAAGAAACCCCCACCAAAAGGTGGTCTCGTACCAGACGCTGGATGTTACCCAGCCTTCCTGAGCCGCAAACTTCTGCCCGTTATTGTGTCACTTGGGCAATTAGAAATTTCGAGGTCAACTGGGGCCAAGGGTCAGTTTGCGCTCAGGCGAACGCTGTTAGCCCCTTCGGCCGTTTTTTTCGCCTCAGGACGCACGTTGGAGCTCTCTCCTCAGCATCTTGCTGCCTTTGGGGCTCACGGCCGAGAAACCAAAGGGAAACCAAGGGAAGACCAAAGGAAAAGCCGCCCGCTTTGTAGGTTTTTGCCTTTTTCTCGTTTTGAGACAAACACAACTCAGAGGCGGCTGTGACCGCTCTTGAACCGCCCCAGGAGTAAACTTAGTTGAGGGTATCCGGATCCGTCTCCGCCGGCTGGTGATTCAAGAAGGGGCCACTATATCTCCATTTTTGAGTTGTTGAACATCATCCATTTGAGGAGTTGTTTTCTTTGGGGTCATGTTTGCAGGGTTGGCAACACCGAGCCCACCATTTCCTGCACCAAATTCGGGCATTTGGCCGGGAGAACCTGTATTCTTTCTGGGCAGTCGTCGCATTCTTTTTCCTTCCCGATGTTATGATGTTTGTTCAACGCATCCCAAACATGGAGAAGAAGGACCAACGCAGAAAGTTCAACTTGGTGCTTTTGCTCCTATTTCTTCTGATTCATCAGAACATATCAGAAAGAACACAAACAGAAAGGCCAACCGGCCAACCAATTTCTCCAATTTCTGCTGAAGCAGAGTGCAACAGAAAGACCCAAACCAAGAAAGATAGAAACAAGGAACCAAAGCAACAAAACAACAAAGAGACTAAGAAACAAACAGACAAAGAAACAAACCAACAGAAACGACCAGTTTTTTTTTGTTTGGTCGACACGAGGTTCTGTCCGGACGGCAAGTTGGCCTGGGAGATTTTGCGGGAAATCATCGCCCGGGGCCCCGTTTGGACGAAAACCTCCCCAGCTGGGGACGTGGAATTTCGAGAAATCCCAGAAAGGGTCGGAATACCACCCCCCCGCGGCTTGTCGTTATGACAGGGTGCAAGGGTTTCATACCACGTTTGAAGACGAATTTACTTGAGCCACACCCAACACCGGGAAAAATGCCTCGCTCCACCTGTCCCCCCCCCCAAATTCTCAGGACTCCGGCGAACAGCCGGGCGTGGGCGCCTACGACCGCGTGATGGAGGCGCCTCCGGTTCCAAAAGCCTTGGCGCGTCTTGACGCGTTTTTCACCGGCGGGTGACTCCTTTGCTTGTTCCTCCAACAGGTTTGCCCTCATGTCCTACCTTGTACACCCTTATTTTTGGATTGGATTTTGTGGTGCCTGTTGCTCGGATGTTGTTATAGGATCTTTCCTAGCGGTGTGTAACTTTGGACGGCCTGTGGCCCGAGGTCCAGTCAATGCCCCTCCCATCCTTGGAACGGGGAGAAGATTATCCTGGATCCCTCAGCATCCCATCCATGAATTTGTCTTAGAAGCTCCTTGGTTATTTACCAGCCTTTTCGGCGGGTTTCGAAGCCTTCTGTCAATCTTCCAGCCCCTTCTGCAAATCCTCTGTTTTCCCCACACGTTTTCGCATCTTCTTCGTTTTCCCCCCAAAAACACACACAGAAAATAAAAACCAAAAAAGAAAAACCACTCGCACCTCTGCGGGTCGTTTTCGCTCCCGGCTTGCCACGCCCGCTCGCTCGCCAGGCCTTCTCCCGGCGGGGCGCGCTGGACGATGCGCTGGCCGTCTTCAAGGCGACGCCGGCTTCGGCCGATGCCGAGCGATCTGGATGGGAAATCTGGGTAGGTTGGACGTTCCCAACGTGGTGTCTGGTGGGTTGTCCTTTTGGTTTTTGGATTTAAAGCCCACCAAACAAGGAGTACCGCAACAAAGAAAGCAACTTCCAAGTTCGGGAGAGCAAATTGGGGTTGATCAATATTCCATTTCGCGCCCTATGGTTTTTTAGGTTGGACGCCCCCAACATGGGGAACCGGTTTGCCTTTGGTTTCCCTTTAAAGCCACTAACAAAAAGGAGTCCCCAAAAAATCGGACCCATGTTGGTGTGTCAAAAATAGGGACCCCTAAGCGGAATTTCGGTGAATGGAAACCCTGACTAAAGTCTCTTGAGTTTTCAGCCATAGTCATTTTGCCTTGAAAAAGGAATTGGACCGGCTCCCTTTGGGGTTTCTTTAAAGTAAGCCCAAGAGTACCCTCAAAAAAAGAAACAACCACATGTCGGTCTATTCTTCATTTGTTTGAAGGTTTTGTTGAAGCAACACAAGTTTTCTTGGGGCCTCCAGATTGAGGAAAACATCGCACCCGAAATTCAGACTACAGGTGGACCCGGTCGACCCTGTTGGCAGTCGATGCTTGCGTCCGATGGGAGAACCATATTTCAAAGGCTCGTAAGTGAGGGCTACCGTTCGGGGTGGTGAAGATTCCTGACCAGATCTTTCAAGTCGGCAAACATGACTCTGCAATTTGCGATTCTGTCTGGTGAGTTCAAGCCTGTTTGGACTTCAAGGACGACTTAAGAGAGAGCCCTGAATTGTTTGCATGTTTTTCTTTCTTTTTGATAGAAGAATCACATGCTATGGGCGCAAGTCCAAGTTGGGAACGGGGTACCCTGGATGTGGACCAAATGACCAAGCGTCAGGTTGTTCTCTTCGTCCGCTCTTTTGGGTCTTGAGATGTTCAATGTGGGGAGCCGTAAAAAGAGCGATTTTCCCCAAGGATGCAGTTCTTATTTCGGGTGGAGCTATTCTGCCAGATTATATCGATGTCACCTTGGGGGAGTCCCATTGTGAAGCTTCCTTTTTTTTGGGGCGAATTATATTGACACTTGCCCAGAATTATTGTCAAAATGTGCAAATATTGTGCAGAAAAATCTAGATGATTTTAAAGGAAAGCCAACAGGAAACCGTTGCCATTTTGAGGGGTCAATTTACTAGGAGGAAAATCCACTAAAACTGAGAATCCAACAAGGGAAATGGCTCCGAAACCTGGTCCAAATTCCCGCGAAACGTTTGGGCGGTTTGGGCGGTTTGGGCGGGTGAGGCAGTCGCCTGGCATAGTAACATTCGATTGTCGGGTAGCTGATTGGGTTCGATCGAAGATGATTCTCCGGCACAAGCTTTGCACATTTTGCACGTTTTTTCTCTGCCCAAATGTCGCCAGGCGGTTACCGTGGCGGGGCTTCGGCATAGCGACGTCAGCGTGGTGCCCAAACGGCAGGGGGTCTTTTTGTTTCGGTTTCCCTTTGAGCAGCGAAGCAAATCGGCAAAACGGGGGAACCAGTACAACTCAAACCAAATGTGTGTTGTGCGCGCAAAACAGGCGATGTTTCCCATTCAAGCCAATCACACACACACAAACACACGCACACACACACACATATATAACCACACACACACATAATCACACACACACACACACATCAAGCACGCGTTGGATTTTATGCAATGTATACCCAGCAGTCTTTCAGGGAGCCCGACCGGGCCCACGGATCCCAGGGATCCCACGGATGCCCGAGGCTACGACCTCCTCGCGAGGCCCGCCGCGCGGAGCCGCTGGCCCAGCAAGATTCGCTGCCGCCGGGGGCCGGGTTCTTGCGGCATCTTGAAGGGGTCTCAAACGGCTTCCCAGAACAAAAGGCCACAGGATTTGTTGTTCTCAGAATGTAACGATTTTTCTTTGGAGGGGTTCTTATTCTTAAAGGCTTTTGGGGCTGGGAAACCCCATTTAAACCGGTTTGAGATCACTTCAGCGGACCCACTTGTGAAAAGAAGCTGAGGTTAACCAGGCTCTGGTTCCCTTAGGGAAGCGCTCATTTCTGGTATGGGGCCTCTGTTGCAACCATTTTGTGTGATGTTGTTTTCTTGTTCCCTTCCTTACAAAAACATTCAAGCACCTCAAATTCAACAACAAACAACACCTTCTCAGCGGGTTCCTTTTGGTTCTTCACAAAAACGGGGCACGGCGCCTCAACAAAAAAAAGGCGCCACCCCAGCACCCTCCGTTTGGGTGGCTTTTCCATTACCTGCAGTGCCTCAAATTTGTGTTGCCGTTTTGGGTAGCAATTTGCTTCTGTTGAGGCCTGACCCTGCCTAAACAGAAACCGCAGCGCACTTTTTGCACTGAGCAAGTCTGCAAAGCAAAACCTTGCCGGTTCATCAGCAGGGAATGAGAAATGGCTCATGACCCCAAGAAAAAACCATACAACTGGTGGTTTCCTTTCTTCGGGAATCCCAAACTGTTCAAATTTTCACCTTCCCTACCCATCGCAGCAAGAAAACACGTTCCGGAACACGAGAAGATGTACAGTAGAGTCGTGAAATACTTTTGGTGGTGTCTTCTTCTTTGTGATGATGTCTAAACAATGAAAACATAGTAATACTTTTTATTTATTTATTTTTTGTTTAAACAAAAACAACCTAAACAAAAGACATCTCCAGGGGCGGAAGACGAGCCCCGTGCTTCTGCTGGCTTTTGGGCAACTCGAGGTGGGGAGTTCCGCTTCGTGGAGCGGCTCTATGCCGCGAAGGTGGACCTCGGGAGCTCGTGTGCCATGCGAAGGAGCTGTTCCTCTTGGCTTCCAATGTTTGGGCATGGGTCAAAATTAAACCAGGAATCGGACCCCAGGTTTTAGTCCTTGGTGCAAAAAAGCCAGGGCAAGCCAATTTGGGTACCTATCTTTGACCCACAGCCATTTGAAACCAGAAGCAAAAGGTGGCCTCAGAAAGACCAGCTCGTGCGAAAGGCCCTTTGGCCTTTCGCCTTAGCTTAAGCTGGGATGTGCGCTTAGAAATGCACTTGAGGAAGGGCATATTGAAGTCCGCGGCCAGAGTTTTTTCCGTGAGACAGACGTGATCTTTGCCACTGGCCAACCAAGGGTGACTTGCGAACTCGCGGGACACTTACGGTGGATGGTTCCTTTGCTAAACTAAACTAAGTAACCCCTCCATCAATTTCCAGAACCATGGCAAACAAGTTACGGTAGAACACGGTTCCGCATTTTCCGGGGGGACAAGACGCAGTGACGCAGTCGCATAGCGGCCTCCATGGTTCAGATCCTGGGAGGCCCAAAGTTGGGTGCGTTGCTTCCGTGGTCGGGCCATCGGTGTACGGCGATGGGTTCCGCCCATTTGAGCCATAGGCCATAGGGCCATAAGGCCATCAGACTTGGACAGCGCCTCACAAGGCCATGAATGCTTCACGGCGATGCGTGCAAGTTCCGCAGAGCCCGCCACGCTCCCGGCCCGTTCGATTCGAGTCGAAAAGACCGGCCAGGCCCAGACCAAGGCGGATGGCCAGATCGGGGCAGAGTCCTTGACCCTTTTGCTGGACGCCAATGTCTCGGGGCTTTCAGCCGGGAGTGGCGCAGGAACCGAACCCCCCCAAACCCCCCGCCCCCCCGGCTTTAGGGCTTGAAGGAGGCAAGGGGAACAGGAGGGTAAACCCACCATTTCAGGGGCTAGTGACAAACGCACGGGGAGACCGGCTCCGTTTCTTCGCCGCCTCAAGTTGGCAAGGTGCCTGTGGTTCAGAACATGTTGAAAGAACTCGAGCTAGTTGCCTTGCGGCATGGCAAGAGGCAAGAATTCTGGTCTTTGCTTTCACTCGTTGTAAGACGATTGCTCTTTGTTTGTTTGTTGGCCGCACTTGAGGTTTCGGGTTCGTCATTCTCTTGCCCGGTTGCGGCCGACGGGTATCCCACCGTGGTTTCCCAGCCTTGGTGGATTGGTGGTTTGGAGGTTCGCGGCCCAATTGAAGCCGCCATCTCAGGGGTACTTACTTCATTCATGGCTTAGTGTGTTGATTTTTTGACTGAGTTTTTCCGGCTGCGTTTTTCCGAGCTTGTCCAGCCAGTGTTTCCAAGTTTTCCGGCCAATATGCCCGGTGTTTTCCGGCCAGTTCTTCCAGTTTTTTTCCGGCATTTTTTTTCCAGCTTTTCTAGCCATTATTGCTCAGTGGCCTTTTTCTCGGAAATCGCGACGCTTTTTGATGGCGACCGCCCCGTATTTAAATCTGCCCGAGTGGGTGTTGATTTTTGCACACTTGCCCCATTGGAACTACCCCCTCCCATTCTGGTTGCCTGTCCAATGGACAATATGTCGAGCCAGTTGCGGAAATCCGTGTCAGGGGAGGATAGGTCAGAACAAGATGTCCTTTGCGCTCCACCCGTCAGATAGGCTGGTCAACTTTCTGAGGACATAGGGAAAATTGAGCAAATGAGTTGCGTTTTGGGGGGGGGGGGGAAAGGGCCGGGAATACTCGCAAATAGGGGGACCTGCAAAGTTGTGGTTTTGCCCAACGCTTACCTTCAAAAAACGACACCCTCATTAGCCGCCATAGAACCCTAGCAACTCTTTAAAGGCTCTTTACCGCTTCCTTTGGGCCGCCCGGTTCTTCTTTTTCATGCCCCGGTTTTTCACTGGGTGTATCTCTTTCGAGGGTCCATTCTAGTTGCCTTTCTGGATTGCCGTGCGCGTCTGAGTTCAGACACTCGGCCTTCTGGCTCTTGGTCGCGCCCCGCTGGGCGTGCGGAGGGCGGAGGGCGACTGTTGGCCGAGGCCTACGCCAACGGCCTCCCGAGGCAAGCCAAGAAGGCGGGAGAGAGGCATGCGACCACAGCCATGGGCTTCGCCTTTTTCGGGTGATTCTCCCAAGGCACGCCGCCAACAGTTGAGAAGCAGTGGATGTGGCGGCAGGTTCCGCAGAAGTCTTTTTCTTCCCCCGACTTTTTTTGGGCGGATCCGAGCCCCGGCCTGAATTTGTGGAACCTACACCTCCCACTTTGAAGCCAGCGAAGGCACAGGCGGCCTTCCGCGGTGCGATGGCCGGGGTTCCAAGGGGCGCCGGACAGATGCGTCTTGGCGAACACCTCTGGGCCTCGTTCAAGACATTCCTAGGGCCGGCATGTGGCATGGTGGGGTTGGTGGAGAGGCAGAATATGACTGGGAGAGTCATGCCATGTGGCCTGGTAGGTTTTGCAGAGAGACCAAATAGAAGGGTTGCATCCAGGGTCATGGCCAGAATATTACTGGGATAATCATGCCGCTTTGGCTGGTATTGGCCACTTTTGGAGGGAAGGTCCCTACAAGGAGAGTTCCGCCGAGCTTAGAACGAGCTTACCGATCCAAGGCAAAATGAGCCCACTATGACAATATCTTACTTGGTGACTCCTTATTTCAGGTTTTGGAATTTTGCAACTGCATGGGGTGCCGGATCAAGCAGAACTGGTTGACTGCAACTTTAGTTGTAATAATAACTACTAGATCACTTGGGTAAGCGTGGGGTGCCATTGTCCCCTTTAGAGGGAATTCATCAGTCGTGGTCAACAACATGTAAAAATAAGTCTAGCCACAGTCATAGCAGCTGCTGGGAGAACCAAACACCAACCAAATCCATGGCTCCCAGGAAATCAGTTGGCTTCCCTACTGGAGGTGTCTTTCTTGGGGAACCCCAAAATGGCTTCGGTTTTCCAGTTGTTTTTTTTCCATGAAAACCTCAAAAGAAAAGGTACCGGGCCTCAAAAAGTACACGACTCCATTTCTACATTGGTGTCAGAAAGGGCTTGACAACATACCGTGCCAAGGTCGAACTTGTCAGCTCCATGCTTGCAGCGAATGTTCAGGTGTCACGGTCAAACCCCTTCATGTGTCTCATGGTCATGGTTCCCTGCTTTGGGAATCTGTATGATGGTTGTCTAAATCCCCGAAGGATTTCCCACCATCTCTAGCGAAAGGGTGATTTGACCATGGCAAAGACTGAGTGACTGAGTGACCTGCACTCCGCGCTGGCTTCCATCGAGAAGGAGCATCCATGCACAAGGAACCTGCTAGTGGGAAGAGGATTGCACCAAGGACATGAGAGCCATGAAGAGATTCTTTCCATGGCCATGGGTCAAAACCAATGGGATCCCATCTTGGGGTAGGTGAATTCACCACCCCATGTTAGAACCCATTTTAGCGGTTGGATTGAATCGGATGTTCGCTGGGGGCTAGTCCGGGGTCTTGACCCACATGGAGCAAAGCCCTAGCAAGCGAAGTCAAGTCTCCTGGTTTCATTTGGGGTGCTTAAGCACAGTGGGGTTTTCTTTTGCCCCAGCGGAATGAGAGAAGCTCAAGCGGACCCCTGTTTTGGAGAAGGTCCAAGCAACTTGCGCCTATTTCTCAAGTTGATCCTGGCGCCTTGGACGAAGTTGTGGCTTGGTATTTGATTGAGCTTTCCGACGTGCCAAGCAACCTGAAAGGGGACGCGCCTGTCATTTGGGTGTGTCTTGATTTTGAGGGCACCCCCCTTTTTGAGTGGCTTTGAAAGCAGCCAATTTTGGAGGCTCCCCTAAAAAAGGCACAATCATTCTCTCGACAAGGTCGGACCTGGTTGGCTCGACGCTGGTGCTCAAGTGCGATTTTGAGCCCGGTTTCGGTTCGTTTTAGCCGTGATTCTCTTTTACTGCCTTTTCCTAAGCAGTGGCAAACAAACAAGCAAACAAGCAAGCAAGGAACAAAAGGAACAAGCAAGCAAGGAAAAAGGCAAACAAGCATTGTTTCAGGAGGAGCGGATTTTTGACCGCGTGAACCGTTGTGGAGACATGGCTCCATGACCGCCGCCACCGAGGCGACCGCGGAAGCGGCGGACGAAAACGCGGAGGCCGCGGAGGCCACGGAGGCCGATGGAATGCCGCCGGCTGTTTTGAGGGTCTACTCGTTCTTGGGATGGGTTTGTAAGGGGAACCAAAAGGAAAGTCGAATCCATTTTTAGGGTCCCCCCATTTTGAGACACACCCAAAAAGAACCCGGTATACCCTTGATTTTTTGTTCTGGCTTGAATGGGAAGCAATGTTTCTTATCCCATCTTTTCCCAAATATTCGATGTAAAACCTCAAGAGGTAAGTAGTTACTACAGTGGTTTGCTTGGAAGCACGGAGTTTGCCTGATTTCGAGGTTTGTAGGATTTGGTGGTCGGCTTTTTGTGATTCTTGAATTTGCTTTTGAAGGCTTTGGAGTTGTTTTTTGATGTTCGAGGTTCGTTGCCCGTTTTCTGGATTGGTTTTGTAGGAATGTGACCCTAGGATGCCCTTCCTCTCCGTTTCATGGTTTGGTTGAAGGCCTCTTGCTCCTTTCTGCTGTTGCTTTGCAACTGAGACCCGCTGTGATATGGGATTTCAAACAGGTCTGGTCAAACCGAATTCCCGCAACACATCACACCTGTTTCCAGTATTTGCCCAAAAAACATATTTGGCGAAGAAACGTGTTTCTTCCGAAAACGCAATAACCGGTCACTTGGGGCTCCTTTTGACGTTCACCTTACCCTTGGGGGCCGTTTTCTTCCATCTCGCTTGGGTTTACTAGTGGACTCAACCCCAAAAAGACAGGCTTCCACTTAGGGAATTTCAAAATTGAGCGGCTTTCCGCTTCTGTCTTACCCCATACACCTTAGTCCATCCATATCTTTAGGTCTCACCTCGCTCGCCCGGTTCCCGGGAAAGGGCCCGAGCTTCCGATCGCTGGTCCCCGATCCGACAGGCCGGGCCTGGGGTGCTACGGGCCTTGCGCCGTGCCGTGGGCCCGGGCTCCCAGCGGCCGATGGAGACAATTTTTTTTGCCGGCCGAGGTGTGCGCTGAACTTTTTGCGGCTGAACGGAGGGGAATTGATGGTGGCTTTTTGCGGTGGGAGCCTCTGACCTCTAGGTGTTCCATGGCTTTTTCTGGGTAGAGTGGTTCGCCCTTTTTTTCCCCAATTGAACAGACCCCTGCGGAATGAAATCCTTGGATTTCTTTCCGCCCATCTTTTGTTGCCCTGGGGTTTGGGCATTGATGACTCATGCGCTGGGTGTTTCTCAAAGAAGGACTTGTTTCCTTTTGGTGTCCCTTCAACCATCCGCAAAGGGGGGCCACCTTAGTTGAGACCCAAGTGGATGTTGCTTAAGGTGGCCCCCCCTTTCGGTTGGTAATATGGAACCGAAAGGAAGCGGTCTGATTTTGAGAAGAAACCATCTGGCATGATTTTGGTTCGGTTTCGGGTTCTCAAAACCAGAAGGGGTAGGACCTCCCTTGCACCTACCACCTAGGGAGTGACCTTTGTTGGATCCTGCTAGTCCTTTCCTCTCCTAGAAGTCTGTCACGGAGTCCCAGGCCCGGCAGTTTACCGAGAGCTGTGTGACGAGTCCACGCCTCAGATTCGGAGTGAGTCGACGCACCCAAAAGGCGAAGGATGCGGAGGAACACGGGACATCACCAACAAAATCGAGGTGCATTTTGCTTGGATGTTTAGACTTTAACTTTTTGCCAACAAATGGGTTTCCATTAAACCACTAAAAGCTTTCAACTTTTAGCAGGGGAGCAGAAAGCAAGCGAGAAAATAGAGATCACACAGCAACCAGAGACTCAGGTCCTAAGTTTCTGGAGCTTATACTTTTTGGGAAGATCATTTTCGTGGTCACCAAAAAGCTTGGCTACTTTTTTGGCCAATCTAGTAAGGAAATGAGGAGACACGCAACGTTGAGAAATATCCATGGGCGCATACAAAGAGCAGGCAGAACGCGCAAAAGGCTATGCTATGCCGGAGGCAATGGAACACTCACGCAGCCAGATCGGCTGAGATGATCAGAATCATAGAGCAAGACATCATTGAGAACCTACTCTTGGCTGGTTGTAATGGGACATGTTAGGACATACATTCTTGGGACTGTTCATATTGTCTTCATAGTTGAATGTATGCTGGGTGTGGGTAGCTTGGATTGCATGCTCAATAGGGATAGCATGGTTAGACTGTTCGGTGTGTTTAGTGTGACATGTACCTGTTTGTGCTGAGAATGGCGGTTTGCTTGGTTAGTTTTGTATGATGCCCATAGTATGGTTTGCATGATTGGTATACTCAGTATGCTTGGTATCATATGCGTAATGTCTACGATTGGCTTGGTACGCTTGGTACGCTTGGTATGGTGTGCGTCAATATAGTCAGCATGCATCGCGTGACACGCACGGGCGGTTTGCTTAGCACGGTTACTTATAGTTAGATTGTGGTTTGTATGATGCTGAACATGGTTGCCATGATTGGCTTTGTATTGTGAGCATGGCTAGTGTGGTTGCGGCTAAAACATACGCAGCATCATTCGGCCATTCTCCGGACCTTTCAAAAAGTAGGCACGAAACCAAAGCCCGCAGTCAACTGATACTCTGAACAAACCAAGACCCTGAGCCGAAATCCTGACAAGCAGCATACTTGTATTCTGTGTGGCGTGGTTCGTATGATTAGTACGGTTTGTAACACGGTGGACATGGCGATAAGGTGCATCATGGTGGAACTATGCTATACACATTCGTGGCATGGTTTGCGTGTAGTATGGCGGTGTGTTGCGGGTGCAAGCGGCCTGAACTGAAGGATGCAGCATGACGCCGTCAACCCCTAGGGTTGGGGACAACTGCGGTCGATGTTGATCTTTCGATCTGCGGCGCAACACAGTGGAGTCAACAGACACATGCGGGGGGTAGGTAATATTCACAGACAGGAATGGAACCCCAAGGGCCATGTTTCCGGTACCTCGAAAGGTCTGAGCCGATTCGATTGGAAACGATTCGAGGTATGGCCTGGAGCCAGATGCAGAGTGATCCCAAAAAAGTGCGCGGATCTTCGACGCGGATTCGGAAGCGACGGAAGCGGGACGTGAGGGGCGGGTGACACAAAGGCGCGTAGTTCAGCGCCGCCCAAAGTTAGGTTCATCCCTCGTTGCCAGTTCTCGCCACAAACGGCCAACGTCAATCTTTGAAGTTCAGCAACTCAAACGCTGTGGATTCTACCCATTTCAAGCTTGAGAACAGGTCGGATGCTAGGCCCGCCTCGTAAATTTGTTCAACTCCAGCTATCCTGAGGGAAACCTGGGAGGGAATCAGCATTAGATGGTTCGATAAGTCTTTCGCCCCTATACCCACGTATGACGAACGATTGCACGTCAGTGCCACTACGAACCTCCGTCAGAGCTTCCCCCGACTTTGCCCGTCTGAGACCTTCGCAAGCATAGTTCAACACCCTTCGTGATTAAACACGCACGCTCTGAGTCAAGCTTCTCCAATCGTTGCTGGCGCAAAGCATCCCAACAGTCACCTTCACTCACCAGCCAACTGCCTAAACCAGCCTGCAGCTGCGATTCTGCAACCGCCTGGGGACTTCAAGACATCTGCCAGCGGAAACAGAGCAGACCGCTGGAGGGCGCGCTGGCTGAGCTATTGGTAAGCATGTCGATCCCATACGAATCAACCACTTAACAACCCTGCGAAAGTGGTCTGATTCCCCATGTCACACAGGGAAAACACTCCTCTAGCAAAGTAGACTGGTTGGTTGATAAATATGGGGTCAACATTACAAGGGTTTGAGACGGTCACCTTCCCGCAGGCGCCTGAAATGCCATTGCCTCTCTGGATCGTTGATTGGTTGAGCCAGAGGCGGGGAGGGAAGAGGCCGCTTCCCCCCAAGAATTGATTCTGGTGAGTCTATGTTGCGGTGCTGGGTCCGCTGGTTGCTGCTTTACGCGTGCGGCGGTGCCTGGCCCAATGTTTGACCACTGGCGCGAGTTGCTTCATAGGCGCCTGGCGCGAAGCTCGTCGAAGCCTCGCCTGGCGCGCCCTCTGCAGCCCACGTACTGGGCGCCCGGTAGATTGGTTGAAGAAGCCGTGTGTGTGGCCAATGAGTCAGCCGTGGCTCACAACCAAGGAGTTGGGATGAGGTTCACCAGGCTCAGTTAAGCATGCCAGCGGGTGGTGTAACCATCGCGTAGGAAACTCGGGAAGTTGATCTGGACAAAGTGATCCCATGTTTTCTTGAGGTTTTTTAGGTTTGAGTCGCGCGATTTATGACGTGTACAATTGAACTATGTGACCCAATGGTGGATGACATTCGCACTTTGTACCGTGCAAGATGGCAGAAGCCTTGTGGTTCAGTGGTTCAAGACACATACTTTGGCGACATTGCGTGCCTACGAAGTATGGGAGAGGGCTCCAGGGCTCCAGTCCCCGACCAATTCAAAAATTAGGTGTTGTTCCGAGGCCTTTCCGACGCCGGGGGATGGGTGCCACTCGAATTTTGTTTTTCGGTCTCCATTTGGTTCCCCCCTCCAACATGATTCGTTTTTCCCCAACCTCTTCCGCCGGGCTTTCCCGTGGCCGCCGCGAGCTGGGCCGGCTTCGCCGGTTGTTCCGTCAGCTTCTTGGGCCAAGGGCAGGCCATAGGACCAGTGGGAGCAATGCCGTGGGAGGACTTCGGCGCCTGCGCGTTCCAGCCCAAACTTCTGGCCGCGCTGCGCGGGCTGGGCTTTGTGAAGCTCAGCGGCAAAAAAAACGACCACTTGCCTCAAGTTTTTTTTCTTTTTTCTCTTTTCATTTTTTTGTTTTGTTTTATTCTTTGTTTTCATTTTTGTTGTTCTGTTGGGTTTTACTGCTTTTCTTCTTTTCGTGTGACAACCCTGTGTCTTTCCCTTTTCTCCAGTGGGAAAGTGAATTACACGTTTTACCCAGGTTCCAAAAAGGAGATGCCCCGTGAATTTGAGCTTTGCCGAAGTCGGGCTCTCCCGATTTTCCGCTTTTGCGCAGTCGCCAGTCGCCAGTCGCCAGTCGCAGGAAACCAACGGCTGTGCAAGCCCAAGCATGGCCAGTCGTTGTCTCAGGCCCGGCGCTCAGCGCCCGAGACTTTTTTGTGGGGGTACGCGTAAAATTCTCGCCAGTGCGCGAGCAGAGGTGGTGATTTTGTGTCCCAGAGGCGTTTGCGGCTTTTGCTCTTTTGGGGCCCTTTCCACGAGACCAAGACAAAAGATCCACCATTTGGGCTTGTTCAGGTGGATATGATGTCCCTCTTCTTCGTGGGGTGTCCGTGGGGTGTTCCTGGGACCCTCCCATTTGTACATTCACTGCGGGGCTCAACTAAGAAACCGCCTCAAATCCCATACCCAAATGCTCATTTGCCAGCTGTGAGATTTTGTTTATGTTTTCAGATGCAATGTATTGAGGGCTGAACGGAGGACCCTGGTGCAAACACCCATTTGGGTGGCTCCCAGCCATAGTCACTGGGAATAACTGCGGTTACTGAGCAGTTACCATGTGCCCTGCCTCTTTAAGTACCCAGGTCGCGATGTGGTTGGTGTGTCTGCCACGGGCAGTGGCAAAACACTAGCCTTCCTGGTGCCTGCCTTTCACGATTTGATGCGCGTGCGGCAGGGCGAGGCGCGCGCCAGAGTGGACTTTAACTGGGAAACCTGCAACATGGAAATGGCTACGTATTTCTCAAATTGTGTTTGTTGTCCTGTTTCCACATATACATGGTATGATAGAATCGATAGAAGAGTAGAATCAGTGGGTTGAAGTGGGTTAGATTGGATTCGGATTCGGGTTTGGACCGGGTGGAAGCCAGGAGATCTTGCCTGCACTTGTCCTTGGAGGGAAGTCACAGGTTCATCCCATGTTCCGCGAGAACAAGTAAGCTTTGCAAACTATATATATATATATATATATCATGTCTAAGAGTGTGTGGAGTACTTGCTTGGATTACACCCTCCGGACATGACCGGCAATAGGACGAACAAACACGGCCACATTTGTCGGCAAACACATCAGATGTGTGGCAAATATGATCCAGGGCCGGCCGCAATCCCGGGGTGCAATACAACCACCCTCCCAAAGAGCAGCTGTTCAACCCAGCCTCAAAACTTGAGGCTCCTTACAGGACACTCTTTCGCAAGTGTTCCTGCACAAGGGAGTCTGCATTTCTTTCATTGACCTGGTCCATTTCTGGCGAGCTCACCAAGGCGAGTTTCCCCCAATCAGACGCTAGTCCGTCAACATCATCAGCATCGTTTTCAACATCCCCCGCATGTCCAGCCAACATCCCTAGCATCACCAGCAAGTCGAGGCAAGGCAGGCAGGCATTTATGTATGAATACTAAAAAGAGGGGCGGGTCCCCCTCATGGTAAAAGTGAGGATTCAAATACGGGCAAACTAATCCCTGTAAACCACCTAAAACGTAGCGGGGGGGTTGCGGCAGCCCCCCCCCCCATGATGATTGAAAAAGTGATGATTAATTAGGGGTGCATTTTAATCTCTGCCAAAAATCCAAAAAGTCGCGGTTGTCAGGGGCTTTATTTGGAGATTGGAAGGGGGAGGCGGGGTACCTGCCGCAAGATGGGCATTGGCCCATACGGACCTGCAAGAGGGAATGCCAGTTTTTTCCTCGTCAGGCGTCTCTGCGAGTGCTGGTGCTGGCACCCACGAGGGAGTTGTCCAATCAGATCCACGAGGAAGGGGTTTGTCTTTTAGGGGGCCCCCAAAAATACATGGTTGCCTTTTGGTTCCCCTTAAAACCACCCCCGAAAAGGGTACCAACTCCCAAAAAGACACCCCCGAATCTTTGGATGGTCAACCTTCTGGCCCCCAGACCTCCAGCGGACCATGTCCGAGATTCCGCCTTTTCCTTTGGAGGGGCTTTCCGTTCGACATCAAGTGCGAACAGTCAGAGGTCCGGTAGGGCCTCGGTGTTTTTTAGGCGTGGTTTCCCCCCCCCTGGTCGTGCCCCATGAATCTGCTAAGGTCACATCCCAAGTGCTTGGTTGAAGGGAAACGAACAGAATTTCCAGTTGCCCCAGTCAAATGACCACTATCGGAGTCACTATCCTGTCTTTTCATGGGACTCCCCCAAAAATGGCGGAGAAAAACGGTTTTCCTCTTTCCCAAACCAAAGCTTTCAGAAAAGGGGTAGTTGCTCCAAGCACCCAAGGCCGCGCCACTTCGAAAATCGATGTGAAAGGAGGGCCAGAAGCTGACGGCAGCGATCGGAGCCCCGGCGCTGCGGTCTGCGGCCCTCTACGGAGGCGTCGTTTCGCGTCGCCGGGGTGCGCCTTTTCGGGGCAAGGAAAACGCGGGCGCGTTTTTTGGGTCATCAAAGGGTGGGATGGTCAGGATGGTCTGGGTTTCGCCGAAACGCTGTTAGGATGGTACCTTGGAGCGTCACGTTTTCAGGCCCGTGGTTAAGTATCCGCAAGGCCTGCGTTTGCGTGAGCAGATCTTGTTTGAAGCGGATGCACATTGTCTCAAAGCAAGGGAGCCTTGGCTTCAAGTCAAGCCGAACTTGATGGGCGCACAGACAAAAACCTGCGATCGGAGGTCTTGAAGCGAGTTGTCATGGCAAGTGCCTGACGAGGGGAGCCAAGTGGTAACCATGTTTCTCCAAGATGCGCGTGTCCTTTTTTGTTTTAAGGGGACCCGCAAGACTGTGGGTTTTCCTTCTGGCTTCCCCCGAAAGCCAACCAAAAGGAGGGTTACCCTCAGCAAAAAGGCAGACTATGGACCTGGGTTCCCAGGCGTTGTTGCAGCCCTGAACCCTGGAGGGGTTGACATTCGAGCGCAGAGGGATACTTTACGTCGAGGGGTTCACTGGTGTGCGGGGACTCCGGGGCGTTTGCTGGATCTTCTGACGCGGCGATGGCTATCGCTGAATGATCTGGCGGTGCTTGTCCTCGACGAAGCTGACCGAACCTGGGTCCGAATAGCAGATGGGTGTGGCTTGTTTGCGACTTTTTGAAGGGGAAGCAAGGGCCGACCGACATTTCTTCGCGCGGGACGCATCCCAGATTTTGAGACAAGGTTTGGTGGACTCAACAAAAGTCCATCAGCGGCCTCCAATCAGGGGATATTTTTAGGGATGTTGTACCACGTATATAAGGGGTTTCCTATTCGCATGCATACCTCCACAACCTATCCCTGGAAAGACCCTTGATCAAGGGATTCCTTTTCCCATGTTTATCTTACCTCAAGTCATGTCCAAGTGTTCCCTTCATCGCTAGGGGATGGGTGTGTCCTTTTTTAAGTTTCATTGCTGTCACTTTTCTTGTGGGGTAGTGGGGGTGGTCGTGGGGTCCTGTTTGGGGATGATTCAAAGGACGGCAGGGTTGGGAAACCAAAGAGAGCAAAGGAACACAAAGGACACACAGAGGAGTTCCAGAAAACAAGTCAAAGGACAACCAAACAAACATAAAAGGAACGCCAAAAGAGAGAAGCCAAGTTTTGGATACTTTGAAGGGGACACCAACAAAAACGCCACACTTTCTTTTTGACAGAGGAATGCTGGATCAGGGCTTTGAGCAGGATCTTCGCCAAATCATGACACACCGACCACCCGAAGTCCAGACGCTCTTGTTCACGGCCACCTGGGCGCCTTCACAAAAGGTCACTTGGAGTGAAAAATGTGCGAACACCTCGACAGCCGTGACACGCGATCTTGGGTTTGTCTCAAAATAGGGATCCCACTTTCGGAACGCGCCACCGAAGGCCACTTGGAACCCATTGCAAAACGACACGCGCCCACCGACAGACAAACATTTGGATCGGCCACGCTCCAGCCGTCCAAACCAAACGGTGGTGACCGGGAAGTCTTGAAAATGCATACCTCGGACCACAAGCAAAGAGACACACACACACACAGACACATGGCGTGGCACACACACATGCTATACAGACCCTCCCCCCCTCCCCAAATCCTGCAAAACAACAGTCACAGTCAGTCAGTCAGTCAGTCAGTCAGTCAGTCAGTCAGTCAGTCAGTCAGTCAGTCAGTCAGTCAGTCAGTCAGTCAGTCAGTCAGTCAGTCAGTCAGTCAGTCAGTCAGTCAGTCAGTCAGTCAGTCAGTCAGTCAGTCAGTCAGTCAGTCAGTCAGTCAGTCAGTCAGTCAGTCAGTCAGTCAGTCAGTCAGAGTCAGTCAGTCAGTCAGTCAGTCAGTTAGTCAATCTGTCAATCAATCAATCAATTAACCAATCAATCCCTCCATCAATTGACTAGTACAGAAGGAAACACCGAAAGAAACAACACGCATACTGACACACCACACACACACACACAAAACACACACAAAAAAGAAACAAAAACACAAAACCACAACACACACACACACACCAGAAAAAAAAGCAAAGAGCAATCTACAAAACACAAAGTTCAAAAAAAAACACACAAAAACACACAACAAAGAACAAACCAAACACACACACACACAAGCACACAAAAACACAAGCACAAAAAAACACAAAAACACAAAACACACAAAACACACAAAAACACAAACCACACAACAAAACAAGCAAACACACACACACACACACAAGCACACAAGCACACAAAAACACAAACACACAAAGAAACACAACCACTAAAACCACAAAAACACAGAAACACAGAAACACAGTAACACAGAAACACAGAAACGCAGAACCGCAAAACCACAGAACCACAGAACCACAGAACCACAGAACCGCAGAACCACAGAACCACAGAACCGCATAATCACAAAATCACAGAAACACAGAAACACAGAAAAAAAGCAGAAACACACAACCACTAAAACGCAGAAACACAGAAACACAGAAACAGAAAGACATTAACGCACAGAAGCACATAAATAGGCACAAAAAGGCACAATGACACAAAGACACGACACAAACACGCGAAGCCATACAGCCACACAACCACACAACCACAAAAATCGCACAGCCACACAAACACACAAACAAACACACACACAAACACACAAAGCCACACAGCCACAAAGCCACACAGCGACAAAGCCCACAAGCCCACAAGCCCACAAGCACACAAGCACACAAGCACACACGCACACAAGCCCACAAGCCCACAAGCACACAAGCACACAAGCACACACGCACACAAGCACACAAGCACACAAAACCACAAGCACAGAAGCACACAAACATGCAAACACACAAACATCCACCCACCCAGGCACGCATACGCATACGCATACGCATACGCATACGCATACGCATACGCATACGCATACGCATACGCATACGCATACGCATACGCACACACACACGCACGCACCCACGCGCACACACGCACACACACGCACGCACGCACCCACGCACACACGCACCCACACGCACGCACGCTCATGCACCCACACACGCACACACGCACACACGCACACACGCACACACGCACACACACACACGCACACACACACACACACACACACGCACGCACGCACGCACGCACCCACGCACCCACGCTTCACGCACCCACGCACCCACGCACCCACACACGCACACACGCACACACGTACACACGCACACACACACGCACACACACACAAGCACCCACGCACGCACGCACCCACGCACCCACGCACCCACGCTTCACGCACCCACGCGCCCACGCACCCACACACGCACACACCCACACACGCACACACACACACACGCACACACGCACACGCACGCACGCATGCATGCACCCACGCACCCACGCACCCACGCTTCACGCACCCACGCACCCACCCACCCACCCACCCACCCATGCACGCACGCACGCATGCACGCATGCACGCTCGCACGCACGCACGAACGCACGCATGCATGCACGCACGCACGGGCGCACAACCGCACGCGCAACCACACACGCACACACCACACGTGAAGACACGTGTGAACACACACACACACTCACAGACACGCGCTCGCACGCACGCGCACATGCACACAAGCACTCCTCCACATTCACACACACCCAAACACAGACACACACACACACATACATCAGCACATGAACACAAACACACATGCACGAACACACAAACACAAGCACAGACACAAACACAGACACAAAGCACAACCACAAAAGGACGTGCAAAGCACAACACATGCAAACATGCAATATGCACAGCGAGACACACACACACATACGCTTATACACACACACAAGCACATAAACCCAGAGACACACGCACATAGACATGGACACATGCAAGCAGAGGCTCTGGCGCACACATGTTTGTTGTTCCAGTTGTCCGCTTTGAAGTGGGGGATTTTTACACCCTGAGGTTCAGCAACTCGCCGCAGAGTTCCTTGCAGACCCTGTACTCATTCAGACCGGAACGGTCGGCCGAGCAGCCAATCGGGACATCACGCACCGCTTTTATGTGTGTCTAGGTTGAATCAACTCATGTCTTTTCGATATGTGGGTCGTCATGGAGCAACGGGCGCAGCTTGTTCCGTCTGTCTGGTGGTTATGGCCGTGTCGGTTTTTTGGGAGCTCCCTTTTGGTGGGCACCTGAAGGAAGCCAACTGACAGGCCCCATGTCCTTTGATTGCAAGGTGTTCCAGCGGGCGTGAGAAGATGGATCGGCTGATCAAGCAAATCAACGAAGTGAATGAGGTCGGCGAGCGAATGATCGTCTTCTTAAACACCAAGCTGGCGTGCCTTGACATTCACTCGCAGTTGCTTGGATCAGACTGCAAGATTTGGTTTGACATGATGACATTTTCCAGTAAACAGCAAACAAAGCAACTTTTTCGGCTTACGGGGCCGGCACCACCCAGGTTGATGCAGCGCCGCTATTCTTGCGGAGTTCTGCAGGGGGACTTGGACCAAGCAAGCCGAGAGGCAGCCTTGTTCGGCTTCAGACGCTGCAAGCCGGGAATTCTCATAGCCACAGATGTGGCTGCTCGCGGTTTGGATGTAGAGGACGTGAAGGTTGTTTTCAACTATGACATGCCTTCCACGTGTGATTCTTTCGTCCATCGGGTCGGACGCACCGGTCGGGCTGGGAAGACGGGCATAGCAGTCACGCTGCTTCACTCTGGAGAGAGGCAAGACCGGCGAGTGGCGCAAGAAGTGGCTGATCATTTGGAGGCAGCTCAGGGTTTCGGGCAGGGGATGGCTTCCTTTTGTGTGATGCTAGGGAACCGAACTAAGTAACGCATTCGTTAAACAAACCATACTTCAATCAGCACGGTGGATGCCCTTCTTGGAGGGAATCTCAAAGGGTGTTATGTAAACCCTTGAGCAGCACGGATGCAAAAAGGGCCCACGGAAAATAGGTGCTTCCACTGTGCAGCTTTATTGGGATTGCAGCAAAGCCTACGTAAACCTTTCAATGTTAGTAGAAACAAAGTCACCGCGTTTTGGGCACTCAGTTTGCCCGGAGGTAGCTGGCCAGTCCGTGGCAGAACTTCGAGCCTTCGGTGAATGTTCGAATCGACGCGACCCTGAAACCAGCAGCAGCTTCAGCGGTCACACCGGATACACCCACAACACTGGCCTGACTCATCCGCAAGTGGAATTGCGTGGCCATCAGCTTGCTCGCATCCTTGTCCCAGCCTCAATGTTTTCGGAGGCTGAAGACAGAAGAGAGTACCAGGTGTTCAAGTGCTACTAACTAGTTGTGTTGAAGGAAAGTAAGAAAGCGTGTTGTAATTTTGGTACGGGGGGTGTTTGCTAGGACCAAACAGATTGGAAGCCTGTGGCTATGTCTGTCCAAGGCAAGTGATAAGCTGATGGTTGAAGAGACACTTCGCCGCGGCTTCCGATTCATGAACATTGAGCGCTCTAAAGCCCTGGACGAATCTCAGTTTTGAACGCTAGAGCTGCCTTGTCTTTTTTTGAGATGCAGTGAGAATGAATGAACATCTAAGACTGTCCAAGAGCCGCCTCACTGAAAAGACCATCCTTTCCTTAAATATTAGCTTGTGGTTGGTTTTTGTTGCTAGTTCCTTGGTGCGCCCTGATTTTCGCTTTCCGTTTGGCTTGTGATTCGACAGGGCTCCCCAGCCTTTGGATCCTCGCAAGCGCGCCGCGAGGATCGCTTCCGGCGCCCGAAGTGGCGACTTTGCCGGCTGGTGCCGATGAGCGAGCTGCGCGCAGCCGCGCGTCGCCACGCGCGGGGCGAAGGAGAGCTGAAGCTGCTCACCGAGGATGCAGGACTGATGCGATCTGCGATTCCTGGCTTCCAGAACCCATTTGGGAAGCCAATTGAATGCAGTCAGCCTTACATGACCAGCAGGGTTCCTTGCTCTGCAGATCAAACATGGAGCCCAAAAGAAATAGAGGAATCGCCAAGTTGGAAAAAGGATTTGCAAGGGAGTATATAGCTATAAAAAGTTCTTGGTTGGAGCACCCACAAGTTGGTTGATGTGAATAATGCGCACCTAAAAATCCCCGACATATGGGTGTAGCTGAACGAAACAGGAAAAAACCGCTGGGGCTACGCCAGGGTTTCGTCTTAGTTTCCATACACCATGGTGCCATTGTTTTTGTCTTCTTCAGTTTTTGAGCCAGAACCATGTATATGTATATATATATATATATTGGTACCCCCCCCCACTGCGATCCACCTTTTCATGGTCATTTTGAAGGTCATGTTGCAATCCATCCTCCATCTAGGTCTTCAATCATGGGGGGAGGTACTAGTACCACCCCCCAGGTACTAGTACCTCATGGATTGAAGATTGAAGATTGAAGATTCTCTGGGACTCTTTCAGCAAATCTTCAATCCATCTTCAATCCTGGGAGGAGGTACTAGTACCTCCTGGAAGGTACTAGTACCTCATGGATTGAAGATTGAAGATTGAAGATTCCCCGGGACTCTTTCAGCAAATCTTCAATCCATCTTCAATCCTGGAAGATGAAAGACCCAGTTATTCCATGGAATGACCGGGGAACTGGTCAAGTATGCAATGTTAGCATATGTGCAGAAGTGACAAGAGCATCTCTAGCGGGGGAAAAAACGTGCAGTCTGATCTTGCGCCAGTGCCATGATTGCATGCATGCTGTCGACCACACATCATCTGAATATCCTTCGACCTCTCTCCAGCTCAAACTCTTTCTGCATCTGCAGGAGCCCAAATCTGCTCGTCTGAAGGAGCAAGACACTTGCTCGTCTGAAGGAGCAACACATCTGCTTATCTGAAGGCGCCCATCTGAAGAGCAAAACCATCAAAAAAGCGGTTCGCAGTGGGGGGGGGGGTAGCATATATATATATATATGTTTCTGTATAATATACATGGGCTTGTCTCCAAATCAGGGATTGGGTGGGCTCCCTGTGGCTTCTATTGAATCACCACTTAGACACGTTGCCATATGCAGGCTCGTACATGTTGTTTCAAAGAGGGTGATGTTGAGAGCGAGCCATGTTTGCTCACCAAGAAGAGCTACCCAACAGGTGTAGTAGCCAGGCAACCAGGTGAATGTGGGTCTGTCTTTAAACAAGGGAACCCCCAAATATTGGCTTCCCAATCCTTTTCCCGTTAGAACCCAAAAGGGTAACTTCGGCTGCTTGATGCCACCGACCGGAGCCGCTCTAAGGATTTTCCCAGAGTCTCTTTGCCTTGCAGGCATCCAGACTACTCTTCGGTAGTCCTGGGCTTTGCTTTCTCTCGCAGTCTCTCGTTACGTCCAAGTCTAACTCAGTCTTTCCGAAGTTCCCGCCGCTCCTTACAGCACGTAGGGCACCCTCACTCTCATGGAAGGGAGGCGTGGGAAGACTTGGTCCACTTGGACCTCGTGGTCTTCTGGTCGTGCAGTTTTTGCGAGAGGCTTTTTCTCTGAAATCCAACCATGAGCTAGTCATGTTTTGCCATGATTTTCTTTTTCAGCCGACTATCTTTCAGAAAAAGCTGGCGTCAGCCGGACGGAGCCCCGAAGGTCAAAGAAACAAACAAAGAACTCGCAAAGGATGAGGGCTCTCAGGCGGAAAAAAGGGAGAGCCTTCAGTCGGTGTTGCGCAAATCAATCTCCGTCACCCCTTTCTGGGCCGGGAGTGCCAGCCCAGTGGCCGGTGCGCGAAACTTGGGACGGAAGGTTTCGCGGAAGAGTGTTCTAATGTCAAGTGAAATAGGGGCAACGCAGAACACTGCATACATGTCAGGAGTTGTGCATGCCGTCGTCGCTGACCTTTATGACCCTGCACAGTACGTGGCAACAGAGATGTTTGAGCTGCCCAATACCAGTGACAACATGTGGCAAATCTTTGATCAGGCAACAGAGATGCTGATGGAGTGTGATGATGTGGAATTCGCTGAGCAGGTAACCTCCAATGAAGCATTCCAGCAGGCATTGAAAGCGCAGTGGGAGTCTGGGGACAAGAACGATGAGTTTTACTATCAGACATTCAGCAAGCTACCCTTTGTGCATTTCAAAAACAAACCCTTTCTTCATCATCTTTGCGAAGATGGTCAGCTTGTGGAGACTTTACGCATGCTTCTCAGCCGATTCTCGCATCAGACAGCTGCAGAACCTTGGCTTCGACTGGTAGATGTGGAATCTCGGGAGAAGCAGTACGGGAACACGGCCTTCCACATATGTGCCTATGCCGGGCATTTCGAGCTATTGGAGGAACTCGTGCAACATGCAAGGCGGTACCAAGTGCCCATAGAGCATTTGAAAACAACCAAAGGCGAGACCATTCTAGATGTTGCTCTGTCGCAAAAGAACTATGCTTGCTACAACCTAGTTGCTCCCTTCTTCGAAGATTGCCAGCTGCTGCCAGATGGACAAGACACGGCCAAGACAAAGCAGGTGCTCGTGGTAGATGCTGCAGAAGTAGAAGGGCAAGCACCACGTGCGTCTGTGTCTCTTCCCGAGCAGCTGTCTTTGGGTGATTTGGCGGGTCATTTAAGACGATGTCTCGATCAGCTTTCGGACGAGCCTGACCTCATTTACCTGAAGAAAGTCCACATCCGCTTGGAGGGGTCGTCGCAAGATGAGGCACAATCACAACCGATTCGGGTAGATAAAGGTTAAGGGCCAATCTCAGCCACAAATAAGCTGCGGGAATCCGCGTTAATTCTTGAAGCGTGGTTCGGATCGACCATGGGCTTTGATGGCTCAGAGGCGGAACACTTCCTGCGCCTCGCGGCCGGCGCCAGATCTTTGACCATGTACCGCTGCAGCACCGACAGCCTCGATGCCAGGGGCTGAGAGTGACGCAAGCGTCTGGCAGAACGCTCGGGATGGTCAGCCCCAACATGAACTGGGATTTGGTGTTATTTTGCAGATCACAACATTTGGATACTGCTGGATACTGGATCTGGTGTTATTTTGCAGATGTTCACAACATATGGATACTGCTGGATACGCTAGACATGCGGGGGGTTGTTGCCACAGGCCCTACAGCTACCTTGGATCCAGAGGTTGCCAAATCATTGGCCCGAAGTATGAGGAACCGGACGCCTGTCGATTTGCAAATGAAACAAATGCTTGCGTACCCGACTCGACATGGATCCCTTGCATGTTGTTCCCGCTGGTCTTTTCACTCGGTGCCATGGATTTGTCCGTTCACTCCAACAGTTCCAGCGCCTGGATAGATCCCTGGGTGGACAAGCCAAGCCCGCAGTTTTTCTGCGAACCGCGTTCTTTTGTTCGGGTTGCCAGCCGCACCGTAGGCTATGCTTAGCAATCCTGGGGGTGGCCGAAACAGCTGCCATTGCGTTTTTTTTTTCAAGCTGATTCTGAATCAAACGATGCATGTCAGAGAAATTCGTTGGGCCGTTCTACTACAATCCCCTCGCAAAAGCAAGCGAGAAAGTGAGGGCGCCTATATTTGCACTGACATGAGGTTTTCTCAAAATTGTAGACACCCTGGTGGATGGTTTTCAAAAAGATGAACAGGAAGCCACACATGTTTTGGGGACCTTATGTTAAGACATATCCGGTGGTTTTCACAGCACTGGAATTGTGGTACATTGAGCACATGCTGGTTGCGCCGACTTGACGCGACGAGACTAGGGTTCCACCCAAAGTGAAGGTTTCTTCTTTTTAATAGGGATCCCGCATTTCTTAAGCAAAAATCGCCCAGAAGGGGGTTGGAGGGGGGGCTTGATCCCATGTGTTCCGCGGTTGACGGGGATCGCCACCCATCGGGGCTTTTCTTCACGCTTTCTGAGGTCTGCACATACCTTCTTCAGGCCTGTGTGCAGCTGTACAAGGACGCCGACCCAGCTTGGGGCCGG